GATCTGTGTAGGGCCAGAGTCCTGGCACTTTTCTCAGAGTGGTGTGGACCTGGTTGCTTAATTAAATTAATGTTCCAATTCAAATGACTCATTTTGTAGGAACAGCCAGTTTGTCAATATACGAAAACTATTACTTCATTTTTTTTTTTTAAACTCAAAAAGTACTGCTTACATTTTATGAGTTGTAAATCTCTTTTTGGCAAAAGACATTTGAAATGCACAAAGGCGGGGTTGGAGCTGGCCGGTGTGTAGCTGGCCTGCCCTGTTTCCCAGGATGGTTAGGGGGCCTCTTTTTAACTAATTACATTGCAATGACCCTATTTCCAAGTAAGGCCACAGTGTGGGGGACATTATGAATGGACCAGTGCGTGGAAGGTGTAGGCAGAGAATGTTTACATCAGCAAAAAGAAGTGTTGTCTCTCAGAGCTGTCTGAATGTGGAATGGGGTGCTGTTCCCAATATTCCATCAGCCACTTGGTGGGGACAAGAGTGGCGCAGAGCAGATTCACACATCCCAAAACTGCTCAGGAAAGATCAGCTTTAATACCCGCTTAACCTGGATAGGTTTTTTGTATAATCAGCTTCAGAAAGCTGCATCGGTCTTCAGAGGTTTATTAGCATCGAACCGGCCTGTCTAATGTACACCCCTGAGAAGCTCACTCTGTGGGAATCTGCAGCATTCTGGGGAGAATTCACCCTGGGTTTCATTGCAGACCATGATGCAGTCACATCCCAGAAAGTCACAAGCTGTAGAAGTAAGCACCTCAAAGCTCCTGTTCAGTGTAATTCAGGGGGATCAGCTATTGCTTGAAGATGCTGATCTTGGATTATGCCTACGTGTATATCTGGCATTCCGTGTAAGTGACAAATTACATGCATTTCCAAGCAAACCCTATCAATGCAAATACAAAAGAAATCCAGATTTAAGTAAGGAGAGACTTCATATGAAAGGATTATTGCAAACAAGATGGTGGGGGCAGGGGAGAGAATTTTCATAGGGGTAAGGGAACCATTGCAAGAGGATAATGTTCCAACCTTGAGATCTGCAAGCATCTCAAAGATCAGGCAGAAAATGGCTGCTCTGTTACTGAGAGGAATAAACAGGCTAGAGCTAACTGGCTATGCAGAGCAAGCTGAGCTGGTGATGGTGTAATCACACAGTGGATCCGGGGATGTTTTGTCTAGAGCTCAACCTATTCTTAGGAAAGGTGTTCTGAAGGGGTTGTATGCTGCCTCAGCAACTTCAGCGGGTTATTTATTTCGCTGGACCTGTTTCCTCACTGTAAAGTAGGTGCAAATACCCCACAGTAAAGTACGTGCAAATAGCGAGCTTGTCAGAGGGCATTTCTGAACCCAGATCTGTCAGACTCAGATCTTCCAGAGAAAAGACCAATTACAGATGAGAACTCAAGTCTTTACAAAATCCTCTTTTAAATTTGTTCTTTTGAAAAAGGTGCTTATATTATGAAATATGGTTACATATTTAATTTGATTAAATCGCCATCAAAGAATTTGATGAAATAACTTTTAAAATTTTTCTTCATGTTTTTTTTATAACAGCAGAACATAGTACAAATTTACTAATTTAGAAACTCTATGGATGGGGCCCAGAATCTGTCTTAATAGCGAGCTCCCGAGGCGGTTCTGGTATCTGCTCAAGCTGAGGACCCCAACAGAGTGCTTGAGCACATCTGCTTTGAGGCCACCTTGCCTGGGGCTGAATCCTGGCTCTTCCACTTACTGGCTGTGACCTCTTAGGTCTCAGTTTCACATCTCACAGTTTTTGAGATGAGGATTGTGTTTTGGGAAAGATTGACTCAATTAAAGTATGTCACAATGCAATGCATAATATCAGGTACTTTGTTAGTATAATATATTACTGTATTATTATCATAATATCTAGAATCAGTCTCCAATTTGTGTGTTTGGTGCCTTGGAGAGCCTGTTATCAATCAGCTCACAGTCTAGTAGGGAAATAAGAACAAATAATTTCAATATAATATGCCACAAGCAATGAAAAATGTCTTTACAGATGCAGAAGTAATGATAGGGAGGAAGACAAGTTTGGGACCTGGCCAGTAACAATCTCAGAGGTCAAGGGAGTTCATTTCCATATTTTTTAAGGCTTTTGATATAATAAAAAATAAACTTTAAATTAAAAAATATCTGGCATAGAGGTTATGCTGTCATATTTTGAATTCAGAAGGATCAGAAGCTAATCTTTGGCACTATATGGCCTTTTGCAAATTACTTGTCTTTTTGAGCTTTGATTTCTTATCTCCATGCAAGTCTATTAACTAGGGTGTGTCAAGAACTAAATTAGATGGCATATATAGGACTTTTAGTACACAGAACATAATATGCATTAGCTATTGGTCCTATTCTTTTGCTAAGTTTTGGGCACTACCTTGGTCTTTTCTGTTCCTCTACTTCCATATCTGTAGTAGGGACATTCACTGATCTGTATTATATAGCAGCTGAAGGCACCCAAAGAGACAATAGCCTTGAATGCTTTTTAAAAGTAAAAAGTGCTGTCTAAATGTTAGAACTTTTAGTGAGCATCCTAGAGATTAACATGCAGTAACCTTCTGTATAGCTCTTTATGCAGGATTTCGAAGGTCTTCCTCTTGGGTTAAATTTGAACATCTGCTACTGCAAAGGATCTAAGACATAGCTTCTTTAGATTTCTAGCTCTCAACTTTGATTTTTATTCCCCCATTGTCTTCCCCTCACAGTCTTCCACCAAAGCTGGGTCCTTCACTTCTCTTCTGCCATAGTTCGGCTTTATATATTGCTGATATGTTGTTTTTGCTAGTAGACCATCATCTCCTTCCCTAGCCATCTGTCGTGAGTGGGGAAGGAACATCTCCTTCTTGGGTGAAGACTGGGCCGAGGTCATTGGAAAGTTCTTTAGGAATGAAATATGGCTTAAAATTTTAATTTATATGTCTTTAATGATATTTTCTGATTGAAGTTGAATTTAAGAATGTTCCCTGGCTTTTGAACTTTGCTACTCTTAATTCCCTTTGTTTCTATAGACATATTGTCAGTGTTTTGTTGTTTATTTTTGTTATTTTTGTTTTTGGCCTTAGTTCCTTGGCAAGCTGTGGGACATAGAGACTTCTTGGCCACCAAAGGCTTGCAGCTAGATGAGAGACAGGAAACATATTTCATTGCTAGCTCTTTCTTCAAGACTAAAATAATGAAATAGTTTTTTGGGGGGGATCAAGGACTCCAAAGCAGAAGAAAAACATAATTTACCTAGAGGTTCTCGCATCATTACGATAAACCCCAGGAAAAAAAGCTCTATGCAAGTTTTACTCAGAACAACCATTCCGTACAATAATAGTATCAATAAAATTTTCCTTGGGAGATACTGGATTGGGGAGATACTGGATTGGTGAGCGTGACCGCGCTGAGGTGGTAAATGTTTGTTAATTCCTAGGCAAAACTAACTATTCCTGCATGGTTTCTCTATTACTCTAGCTTGAATTTTACCCTTTAAGTTTTACCCTTCTATTATGAATGTTTCCTTTAATTGGCAACATCAAGTGCCTTGTCAATTTTTTCAAAATCCAGTTGTAGAACCTTTTCTGGATTTTAGGTGGTTAGGTTTACTTAACTTTAATAATATTTTATAATAGTATTGTGTTGGAAAATCATGTTCTTTCCTTTTCTATTCAATAATATTTCAGCTTTAACATTGTGATGACTTTTACTAAGGTATGCCTCTAAAATACATTGTTATTTGCTTAACAGATGGATGCCTCTAGACAGGCAAGACGCAAAAACAGGAGGAATACCATAGCCACACCAAATGCTGAAAGTTCCACTGACGGCTGCGTCTCTGGGTTGGAGACACTGTTGCCTTAACTGGATTCTGAGCGGCTTTTGCATTTGTCTGTGTTCACATGCAGACAGATCCTTCTGGTGAGTGATAGGAAGACCAGGTGAAATTCCAGCACTGTCTTATTTTGCTATATCCTTTTAAAACTTGGGCTTTGGTTTTTTTCATTGTTCATCCCTAAGGTAGTCCTTCCAGCTCTACCATTTTATAATTATGGAAGATGTGTCAGCAAAATTACTAAGTGATTACTTCAAATTGCAATATTTTATTGCTTTACAATTTTTTAAATTGATTTCAGAGAGAAGCAGGTGAGAGCGAGGGAGACAGAGAGACATTTGTTCTACGTATGTATGTATTCCCTGGTTAATTCTTTCATGTGCCCTGAGCGAGGATCAAACCCAAAACCTTGGTATATCAGGATGCTCCAACCCATCCAGGGCTCTCTTCTTCCTGAAAAGGGAAATTCCATGAAACAAACAGCTACTTTGGAAAGAAAAAGTCTAGCCTCATAGGTCAAATTATCTTGTGAATCTAATTATTTGAATCCAGAAACTGTTGAAAAATATTGCTTTAATATGTGAATCTATTATTGTACATTAAAAAAGTAAAGAGTCTGTAAGTTGTAGAAAATGAAATACTGAAGTTTTGAAGGATGGTGATTTTTCAACTGAAATATGAAAACGGCAAAAGGGCAAAATAATCATCCTGGAAATCAGCGCAGCAGCTCTCTGCTGAGTGTCTCACTGCCCACCGCCAGGCGGCCGCAGAGAAGGGCCCGCGGTGAGCTGGCCGGGCAGCCCCTGAGGGTGCACCAGCGCCGGGAGCAATTGATGACCGTTTGGTTGCTAATGAACTGAAGAACTGAAAACAAAACTTTAGTTAGAGGCAGTCAACCTGAGAGTCTATTCTATGTGCATATTACCCTAGGTAACCAACTCAGCGCGCACAGGAAAAAGGTTAAGAAAACCACGTTCTTTATGACAATGGCCTAGAAAATTTTTCTCATTTGAAAACAGTCACTTTTGACCTTTCTCCTGAGCAGAAGGAGGACAGAAATTGATAAATGAGAAACAGGTGAATAAAAGACAGGACACTTTCCTTGAACAAACAGCAGTTTTATTCCTGTACTACGGAGAAGGTGTGTAAGACACCATATAGAATTTTTGACCACAGTTACAAGTATGAAAATATATTAAGCAAATACATAATTTAAATAGAAAGACTAATGAATTTCTTTGTTCAAATACAGTTGGTTAGAAATACAACATTGAGGGGGAGGTACTATAGTATGAAAAAATAGAATCATCTATTGCCATTTTAAATAACCAGATTTGTGGAGAAAGAATATATGATACATGATATTAAAAACATAAAAGTGCTGTATTATAGAACATAACAAGTTCAGTTATTGGATTTATTTACCTTATTTATTTACACTTCACACAAATCAAGGAACAGTCAGATGAACCTCTGTGGGCAATAGTGTTATTAGATACTGACAACTTACCACCTAAAGTATAGGGCCAGGAGCAATTTCCACTCAAAAAGTATATATTCTTTATCTGTGAGCTGCTCACTAATTTGTACAAGGTAGGAAGAGAGAGAGATTAAAGATTTTGTCCTTGTCCTTGCAGAATTTACAAGCCTGAAGCGTTCCGCTGGAAGGCCAGCGATCGAGAGCTCTTCAGGCAAGGACATTGGAGCGCCTGGCTGTCAGCGTGGCTGACTAGGAAACGGCAGGGGGCCACTGCAGACTCTCCTTCTAGCTTGCAGATGAAGTACTGTCCAACTTGACTACAAGCTCCTAAAACCATAGTTGCTCAGGTTCCTTTCTCGTTGGGAGGCTTCTCTACTTACTCAGCTATTAAAATACAGCATCTCTAGCATAACAGAAAGCTAACTCTTAGGGTGAAAATAGTATTTCGTAAAAGAAATTACTTAAGGCAGAAAACAGCCATAACTAACCTTTCTTGTGAATATTCTAGAAAGGACACATTACATTTGTCGGACATTATTCACAGTTTTGAACAACTTATTTTGGTATCCAGTATAAGAGCATGTACATTGGCATAGAGGTTATGAAAATAATCTTTGGTAAATCTGTTAACAGACTTCTTTTATTTCCATTACCTAAACCTCTTATTTTAGGAACATTTACCAACAATTTCCTTATTTTATGGATGTATCTATATAGACAACTTTTAAAACAACACAATGCCTCATTATATTGTATACATTTATCCCTAGGGAGCCTCTGTAGGAGTGGAGAGTATTCTTTTAGTCAGAAATATTTCCATCTCTAGAAACATTTTTAGAAGAGAACAGTTTCGTGCTACTACTATGGCTACATCAAATGATACCCTGCATTTTAACTCAAAGGGCCAAACATTTTCAAGGGCTTCATCCACTACAAAAATCTAAACTAATGTGTTCAGAATTTCAAAATCAATCAATTTAGTCAAACACCTGGTCAATTTACAAAGCTAAAGGAATCAATTCAATAGCTTAATCAGGTAAATCACCTGGCCAGTGTGATCAAAGTGATTCCCCAAAGGATAATAGGTCCTAATAGAAACATGGGACATTTTAAAAGAACAGACTGGACTGACAGAAGGGCTGCCAGTTTCTCTTCCTGACGATATCTGGTTAGATCTCCTTTTCAACTGTTGCCCCTTCTTTGCATCATTTCACTTGCTTTCTGCAGTCACTGCTTACAGATTTTCCTTTTATGTGAAACATTGTCTGGATACCTGACATGATTTGAAATCTTGGGTTAAGAATACTCAGAAACTTAGGGAATGTGGGCTGATGAGAGCCTTTCCCGTTCTTACTCTTCAGAAATGAGGTAGGTTTGAGGGCTTGCTCACAGCTACCTACTTGCCACTGTTTCTTCAGCTGATCAATTGCTCTCATTTCCTCAGTGAAGGGAACCTGGCAAGTCCTTGAGCTGTCACCTCAAACAAGCAGCTTATTACCTATTGCTTTGCACCAGGCCACGTTTGCTCTGGTTCATGTGTGCAATCACACCTAGGTCTGGAGGACTCCAGAGTTGGGGCACAGACCCTCTGCTCGCTGTAAGGCAGACCTGACAGGTTGCGATCTCAGGGTTCCAACTGCAAACACCCACAAAGCCAAACGAATGTGAATTTAGTATAGGGTAGTTAATGTTCTTGCAAAAGGTAAAAAGAATGTTTCATATAAGGAGCTGCTTTCTGAGACACTAAGGCAAGAGAATCAGACTGTGAAGTATTAACATATGAGGTCTATTTTTGTATTGCTGGACACCTGCTTAGTAGTTTTATATTATTTTCACATGCCATTTTGGGTTTTCTTCCAAGAGATAATAAAGAATTAATTAAAGATCCTCCCAAATAAAACTGTTCCCAAATGTCTGTGCTGTGGTCATCTTAGTATTTATAAATGGTCATGGATGGAGCCTGAAAGGACTATAAAACACTAATGAATATGAGGAGATAAAGTGAACAGAAAATAAAATCACATTCGACTGGGAAAGCAAACATATTAAAAAGGGAGCGGGGGACACATAGTGAAAAATAGGACCTCATAATCATGAAGGAATGGCAAATTACTCAGGACATATATGGGCAGGCCCAGAAAGGGAGATGAGTCTTTGAAAAATCTAATTGGAGACCTGAAAAATTGGCTGCAATCCACGGAACAAGAGAACGATAAGACAAAATTGACTTAATGAGTAGAGATTCAAGGGGTTAATTATAAAGAACCTGGATAAATAATTATTAAGATGCAAGACGGGCCTCTCCCAAGATTTGATAGCTCCAAAGCACTTTGAAGATGGATGATTAAAGTGTCCCGCACAGGTGCACAGTCAGAGTGCTCAGCACGACAGGAAATGGAGTGTTTACCAAGACATAACACATGATGGAATTAAATTAAAATACAGCCAATTGAGCTGAATGTCAAGGAAACCTGTTTTCCCCCTTCCTAAATTTAATAGATAAACTAGATTATGTATTTAGTCTTTGGTGGCGGCAGGAGGGAAGTTAGTGAAGTAATTGTTGCTAAGGAAATTTAAAATTAGATAGGTGGAGGGTAAGAATAAGTGTTTCCTGGATTAGACCAAAAGAACACACAGTTTTCCCTTGTCGTGTCCATTCCCACAACGCTGATTCCACCCCAGATACGCCAGGACATGTGAGGGTTATCTACTGCTACAGATGTGTAGGTTTTTACGGTTTCAACTTTTGGTTTGTGTAATTAATTGATGGCTTTTCTCGATGCAGTGGTTTGCTATGGGAGCAGCATGAGCAGTTGCCAGCGTGGCCTGAGGAAGGCGGCCCGCTGCCCTGGCCTGGCTCAGTTACCTCGCTGTCTGGCTGGGGCCTCCTTCAAGCTTAGCTGGAAATAGTAACAACAACCCTAACTTGTTACTGTGAACCATTCTTTTATGTCGGTAGAAACATGTAGTTTCTGGACACTGCCTGGCAGGTTGCAGGCACTTCGTACAAGTTTTCTCAATGAATGAAAAGCCAAAATGAATTTGTCTTTCTATGGATTCATGTGTTTTGTGCTGAGCGACATTAGTTTAAAATTCTGCTTATTTTTCCTCTTGCTTTTATCTTTCACTGAAGTTATTGTCGTCAAAATAGGCACAAATACCCAAGATAAACTTGGTAGGGTATGTAGTGTCTTTTGACCTCAATGATTTACTAAAAAAGTCTTTTGGAAAATTTTATACTAAACACCACTGAGCTACTCCCTGCCCCCCCCCCCCATTAGCTGTATGTGATTTTTGTGAATATTTCTATAAAAATGTTGATGTTGGGTCCTTTGATCAAGAGTATAATCTGCTCCTAAAATCTTCTTTTCATAGAAAAACCAGTATGACTGGCATAATTTTGACTTTTCCAGGAGTGCAGCCCACTGGAAATGAGACAAAGACACGTGTACGTACTTCTACCAACACACGCGTCATAGTCAGGGCAGGCGTGCTCGCCCTCCATGCCATGATGTGGAGGCATCATCTCCTATCACTATGGATGGTGCTTTGCATGTCGATTATGTTTCCAGTCAGGGTTCCAGGTGGCATTCTTCTTGATGTAAGGAATTCACCACTTCCGTTTGCATCCTTCTCTGCCACAACCCTCTACCCTGCAGCCTGGACTCACACTGCAGGCCCCAGGCTGGAACCTCCGGCAGGAGAAAGGGGAGAGAGTAACTGCTTCAGGCACCACCGCCTCCTTCAGCTTTGGCGCTACTTAATCCCTTCCTCCTCCTCCTCTCAGTCCCTTTTATGACTGTCATATTTGTCCAAACAGCATTTGGATCATCTTTGGATCCCAAGATTCTCAGGACTGCAAGCGGCAAAGCCAGCGTACTACATGCTCTCTCCAGCCCTGTCCTTGATCCTGTTCAGTGAATATGAAAACTGGTAAAAACCACGGCCCCAGGGATCGCCTCTGAGGCCACCCCCGCCCCCATGTACGGCAGTCCTGTCATACAGGTTGAATTGGCTTACGTAGAACAACCCAGGAACACCTCAGTGTGGAAAATAGTATCATATAAAGCTTAATATTAAACATTATGGAAAAATACATATTTACAGGAGAAACTACAAAATACAACTATGTACAATAATATCTGTTACTTTTAAATTATATAAATTCTTTAAAATTCTCCAGATTAATAAATTATACATAGTATCAATAGAAATAGCTGGCACCTCTGTAGAGCATGAAGGGAGTTTAAAAAATAATCACACAGTGAATAGCTTTTATCCAGGGTATCTTCGGGGACATTCTCAATGCCTTGAATAGCCCGCATCTGAAAGGAAGGACACTGCAATTAGAGACTGTGACAGGGTGTGCCACGCTTGTTTGTTCTGTTTATGCAAATTATAAATGGGAGAGACTAGTGAAAAATGACTAAAACTCAGTATAGTTTAAGATGAGACTATCTCTGTGGGGGGCCTATTCATTCCATTCAGAACCATCTAGAATTAGAGAGGACTAGTGATTCTGGTCCAAACCCTATGGTTTCACAGATGAGCCCGCCGGCCCAGACAGGCAGCATACCTCATTCAGGATGACCCAGCCTGATGCTAGTCAGTTCTAGAGCTAGGACCTGAACCCTAACTTTCAGATGCCCGTCATCAGCTGCCTTCAGGAGCAACCGGGAAGATTCTTTAAAAAAAGAAGTCTCACAGTCAAAACAAGACAAAGGAAACTCCAAGATCCCCAGAGCTCCCTCCTTCCTGGAACTTCTTAAAGAATCTGACATGCAAAAACCTTAATTTACTATACTTACTATACAGATAAGTTAAGGAGTAATAATTTACAATACAAAAGGCTTATCTAATGTACAAAGGACTCCTTTAAATAGCCTGTCTTCTGTATTTGTGCTTTACAGTTTACCAACGATTCAACATTCTGGCTAAGTGGGTGGGTATAGACTGTGCAGAGAGCTAAATGAAATGGAAGATCTTTTAGAGATGAAGATAAAATAGTTCCAAAATAATGTTTGTTACAAAGAGAAAAAAGGGTCTCATATGTAGATGGCTATGGGTCCGTGTGGCAAGGAACTGAGACCTGCCAGCAGCCACGTGAGCAAGTCGCCTTGGTGACCTGGTGAACCCTCTGGCTGAAGGCCTGGCCCCGTCTCCACCGCCACCTCAGGAGAGACCCTGAGCCAGAACCACTTTGCTCAGCCCCTTCCAAATTCCTGATCTACAGAAACTGTGAGCTAATACAGGTTGAGTTAAGCTGCTAAGTTTTGGGATAACTTGCTAGGTGGTAATAAACGACTAATACAATGTAACTTCAAATTTACAATAAGCCCATGTGTTAAATTAAGCCATAATGAGGATCTGGAGAAGAAAAAGAAATGCAGACCCTTCCTCTGTCACGTAAATACTGTCTGATCGAAGAGGTGCCTTACAAAGCTTATGTATTTTTTTCCTACTGAATTTTTAAAAAAAATGTTGCAGGCTTGTTCTAGAAAATTTAAAAACACATAAAATGAAAAAAAATTATACGTTCTTTTATTGTTCAGAGAAATTTGTTTTACGATTGTGGTCCACTCCTTTCCAGCCTTCCTCACCCCCACCACGTGTTGTTTCTATTTATTTTACATTCTGCTTTTCTTAATTATTTTTAAGAATATCCAAGTTATTATAATATCCTTAAAAATATCATTTTTAATGACTGCATCGTATTCTATTCAGGGAATGTGCCACTGTATACTTAGTCCCCGCTATTAAACATTTAGGTTTTTTCACTCAAAATTTGACTTACGAAAAGCTTCACGCATAAAGTTTTTCAGTACTTAGGGTGGTAGTAGAAAGGCGGGTGACAAGAACACACTAAGGACCTTGATACATATGGATTTTTTACAAAGGGATTTTTGTAATTTGAATTCCCAGTTGTGATTTCAAAGCAGTGAGCCTTAGCATTTAGAAAAGAAATGTGAAGTCTGTCAGTAGAGGACGTCCTAGGCCAGGTCGGAGGAGAGCGCACGTGACGTCAGCGCCTGGCTGCGGGGAGTCCCCGCCCACGCTGCCTCTCTTCCCTGCTGCCACCCTTCCAGGGCCTTTCCCTGGAGCCTTTGGGTAGAGGAAGAAATAGATGGCGCAGGTTGGAAGAGCTTTGGTCTTTTAATGGTTTCCAGATCAACCAGATCTTGATAAATTAACTTAAAACTTAGTGAAGTAAGCTCCTACCTCTGTGATACTCTGGATTCACATTTTCGTAGATTGGAAACAAGGGGTTTTCTTGTTCACTCCGTAGCTTCCTTGCTCTGAGCACATCTCTTACACACTGATGCAGGTATACATACTGACACTATGAAAAAGCAGAACACATGTCAGAGGAGGGCAAGTTCTCATGCATAAAAAAGATGAGAGATTCTCACAAAACATAAACACTAATGAAATCCTATGTCGTCAGTAAATTTCTTGGTCATCTCTTCACTAATGGTCTCTAGAACATAAAAAGTGACTGCTTTTTATTACCACTGAGACAAGAATGATGGTGCTGGTCAGGAAGGTGGTGTTTATTCATTCTTTCTTACATGCATTCATATTTATACAGTATGTTCCATGAGGACCCACTACTATGTCTGGCACATAGTATGTCCTCCATGAATATTTATTAAATAGACGAATGAATGCCTCACATTGCGCTGTGCCTTTAACATAAATTATTTAATTTAATCATTTTGACAATTTTGTGACTAGATATAATCATACATCTAAGTTACGTAACTTCTCCAAAATCACACAGCTAAGAAATGGAACCCTAGGATTTCGTGCTGAATGTGTGACCTCAAATGTTCTTTTCACTATACAAACATTCTTACGTGAATCCTAATTGCGTTGCATTACTGAATGACAAAATCATTTCACTGTGTATTCTGCTGTTTTATTTCCTTTCTTTGCGGGGCGGGGGGGGTATAGTGAGGAAGAGCAGATGTGTACAATAGACGCCACTGGACTATTAGTTTTTTGAGGGGAAGTTCAGTGTCTTATCTGTCTCAGTTCTCTCAGCAGGCGAGACCTACAGGGGGTTACACAATAGGGACAGACCTACCTGTGAACTACCTGAGAAATAATGACTGAAAATAGAAACAACTATAGGTGAGTTAGTGTTTGGTGGCTATAAAGACACCACAAAGTCTTCCACAGACAACAAAAGAAGCTCAGTCACAGGCAGCTCAGCTTGTGCATTGGGCCCCATTCTTTACTGTCAAGTGAGCTCTCTGATAAGGGAATGTGTGTCCCTGTAAACTTAATGCTTGGCCTTGTGCACTCTTAATGACATAGCAACTGCTTCATGGAGAGAGGAAGTTGGGAGGAGATACACACTATGTGAGGGATGCTGGGCCCTTAGTCTCATCTAGACTGAATCGTGAGGCTTCTGGGGATCTCCCTTTCCCCATCTATGAAACTGGCAAAGGTCTCCTCTACAGCTAACATCCTTTACCCTTGTACCCTTAAAGTCTGTAAGACTTTGTATTGCTCTCAACCAGATGGACTCCCATGATCAAGGAAGTCAGCCTTAGAGCGTTTCAAAGGTTGGAGACACAAAGTAAAATTGTAAGATATTCCCCCACCAACTATCTTTAAAAGTGAACAAGTATCGTCTTCTAGGCATTGCCCCTGATTGGAAGCTAGCTTCGTCATCCACAGGGTCCACAGCAGAACTGGCACCTGCTTGAGTGTGGTTGGTGGGGTAATAATATGGGTGTAGTAATTTGTAGCTTTAATTTTAACATTTCACCTAAGATGTCATATGGTGTGCTTGAGTGCAATATTGGTAGATTACAGAATTACATGCTTATGATTTTGCAATAAAAGATTCTGTAATAAAAAAGGGGCATTATCTGTGCTACACCCCTGAACTCATGGGACTTCATCGTGTAAGTCTGGAAAAATCACTAGGGCAATTCAAAGAAACAAAACAATCATAAATGAGGCCCACATTAATATTAACTGTTCTTTGCCTTTCTGCTCACAATTCTCATGCACTTGTTATGAGGCGTTTATGCTACCTCAGTCTTAAAAATCCAAGGCAGTTAGTACCCTGAAAATGGTTGTTAGAATAGGCAGTCTCTTCTTTTTTTTTTAATCTTGAAAACAATCCACCAACTTATAGACAGACACCTTCCTGCTTCCTCTCATTCAGAGCATGATTCACGTTTCAGTTCTCCTGAGATATTAAATTACTTTGGGACCTTAGTGTTCAGCGGTGAATGAGCTCCAATACCTCTGTGTTATGTCTTATTAATAAATTCTTCAACAATGATCCGCCATGGGCTTTGAAACCAGTTAATATTCATTAATTTGCTTTGTATTAAATATAAATTCTTCTTTTCCCAATAGAATGTCCCTTGGAAAATGATTACTACGAAAACCTTCAGGTTGTTAATGTGCTTCTCACTTCATTCACAAAAAGTAGACAAAGTCTAATATATGAACCTCAGTCAAAAAAGATCCTTTTTTGCTCTGTTTAGCTAACTGGCGAAGCCTCAGTTCTATTCAATTTTTCCAGAAGTTGTAATATTAGGTGATTTTTACAGAATTATACTTAAGGTCTTTTCACGGTTCATGAATGCAGAATTTAGCAGAGGGACAGAAATGTGAGCAAACACCTTTAAAGTCATAAACATAAGAGAGAATTGTGTATAAAGCTTCATACATAAGAAGACGCAAGCTTCTTCTTATTTGCTGCAAGAATTTGAGCAAAGAAGTATGGCGTTCCAAATGATGTAAATAGCATGAAGGTGCACATATATTCTGGAAACTGAGCAATCCAGTGTAGCTAAATTGTAGGGTTCATGGGTCATGGGAAACCTCCAAGACAATACCCCAAATGGGCACTGAGACCCCCAGTCCTACAACATCCCACTATTTCCTTTTTGAGGGGAACAGATTAGATCCACAGGCTGTGACTACCAGCTGTTGTTCTTTAACGCATTATTGCTCCATCTCTCTCTAGAGTGTCTGTTTAGGGCCAGTCTGCCCCAAGGCAGGCTAAAGGAAGGAGGGACACCCTTGCAAATCCCTGGTCTAACACCTATTTGTTCAGAAATCCTTGTTTTTTTTTTGATATATTTATTAGAACCTGGGAAGACCTGCATCCCCTTGTATCCCAAATAAGGTAGAAAAGTTGAGGTTAACTATCTGCATGGACCCAGAAATGTAACCCAACGGGTCAGAATATCCTTCCTCCTTTGCTGGAACAGTCGCTCCCAGGGCGCAGCTGCAGGTCGTACCCATCCGCACCCACTGCCCACACTGGGTGAACCCTGCCGGTGCCGGGGCCAGGGCCGCAGAGTCTGTAGGAGCAGCCCACCCTCAGCAGAGTCTTAGAGCAAGACAGACAGTAGCTGGGTTTGTTTGGGATTGCATTTGCTACAGGAAAAATAGAAGGAGAGGGAAAATTTCGATCTCCCTGCAATGTTTGTTTCATCACGAATAGAAGGATCAAAGTTGATTCTGCTTATGACATGCAAGTGGAGAGGTGGGCCCAATGACAAAGAGACTTGTACACAAGGATGAGAGTTTGAACTTCCTTTCACAAATGATGGAGAGCTTTCTAAGATTTCTATGCCCGGAGCTGACATCATTGTTGGTGGCAGTGGTGATGAAGAGTTGTCGGGACAGAAACTGGAGACTGAAGACCTACCAGGAGGCCATTGCAATAGGCCCAGTGGGAGTTGAGAAAGGGCTGGGCAAGGGGCTGGCAGCGGGCTGAAGGACTAGAACAAAGAGACAGGTGTTGGGTAGAACCGACAGGACTTGGTGGCTGCTTGGATGTGGGAACGGCAGGAGGAGAAGCCAGGCCTCTCCGTTGGGCAATCAGGTGGATGGCAAGGTGGGTGGAAAGACTGTTACCTGAACCCGGAAGGAGCCAGAGCAGCAGTGCTCCTGTTGTTATTGCTGTTTGTTTTTCAAAGGCAGATCATGCGTTTTTTGAGTTTGAAATGACTGTAGGGCTTCCAGGTGGAACTTCCTGGCAGGCCAGTATGTAGGTGAATGCTGGGAAAGGGGAATGAGATTTGGGAAACATGGGTGTGTACCTGGTTCTTGAAGCCATGGGAGTGAGGGACATCACAGAATAAAGACAGGGACAGAAGAGCAGTGCCTTGAGGACAGAACCTTGGGGAAACCAAACAGTGAAAAGGCAACCTGAGAAACAAGGGCCACAAAATCCTCAGAGAGGCAGGGGGAGAACAAGACAGCAGGGAAAAAAGGAGCTATGTCCACAGAGAGGGAGGGAGAGCTTTGGCACATCACGTTACCCCTGCCCTGGAAGTCACCCAGCGGTATTTACAATAGGGAGTGCCTGCTCATCACCAAAATGCATCTCCAGAGCTCTGGGCGGGTGCATGGAAGCGACCCATAGCCCAAGAAACCACTGACAATAACTAGGGAGTCTGGACACACACAAACACACATCCGCAGTGGTCACCAATGGCTTCCCCAACCCTTAAGTAAACAGCTCATGGGTTATGTGACAGTGGATGGTCGCTGCTAATTCCATCATCCCTGAGAGGGAGACACACAGACAGGAGGTCCCTCCTGGTATGCTACAACAGGAAGTGCTCAGCATATCCATGAAACACTGTGGTGGTAAAAAGGGACCTGACCCCGGCAGGTGTGGCTCAGTGGATTGAGTTTCGGCCTGCGAACCAAAGGATCGTCGGTTTGATTCCCAGTTGGGGCACATGCTTGGCTGGCAGGCCAGGTCTCCAATTGGGGGCGCGCAAGAGGCAACCTCACATTGATGTTTCTCTCCCTCTCTTCCCTGATGTCTAACAATAAATAAATAAAATCTAAAAAAAAAGAAAAGGGACCTGAATTTAATCGAGCCTCACACTGGCAGACAAAAACTACGGGGAACAGAAGATACATTGCCACCATGAAGAAGCAGTCAGCCACATCTAGAATGTGGGACAATCTACAGAACAAATGAACTGGTTTCTCTAACAAATATGTGGCATGGAAAACAAATTAGAGGGAGGATTATTATAGATTTTTATAGATTAAAGGAGACCTCAACCAAATGCAATGTGTGTACTTCGTATTCTAATGCAAACCAAATATGAAAAGCCATTTTTGAGGTAATTAGGGATATTTAAACACTGACTAAATATTAGATGATACTAAGAAATTACGATTAAAATTGTTAATGTGATAATGATACTGTAGTCATAATTTTAAGGAGTCCTTATTTATAATTTGCATAGTCACACACACAGTATTTACAGATGAAATGATGGGATAAGTAGAATTTTCTTTAACATAGTCCGGTGAGGTCATGGAAACAGCATATGTGGGGTGTAGATGGGAAAAGAACACGGGATACTGATAATTGCAGAAGTTTGAGTCTGGGTAGAAAGAATGTCACAATACTACTTTTCCTAGTTTTATGTCTTTTTTAAGAAATTTCATAATAAAACAAATGCTGTAGTGAAAGTGCTCCCAGCCCCGGACGGTGGTGGCGGCACTGCCTGCAGGAGGCGGTGACACCAGTGTTTTCCCAAGTGGGTTACAGACTGTGGGCTCTGCACAACACTCATAGGCGCTGCCCAAGGAAAGAATTCAGGGGGCCAAGGCGGTTCTGGGAATAGTGGGTCTGGAAAAGCCCAGGGGAGCTCGGCTGCAGGGGGCCCGGCGTGTGGAGCACAGCTGCCTGAGCGGGGTCCGCGGGTGCGGTACCTGTGACAAGGAGGTGGGAGCAGGAAGAACTTTCCATTTTTTTGACCATGGGGATTATTTTTTAAACAGAAGATGCTGGTACACCCCTATATTCATTGCAGCATTATTTACAGTAGCCGAGATATAGAAGCAACCTAAGCATCCATTGATAGACAGGTGGATAAAGAAGAAGTGGTACATATATACAATGTTTTGCCATAAAAAAGAAAGAAATCTTATCATTTGCAACAACACGGATGGACCTAGAGGGTATTGTGTTCAGTAAGTAAGTCAGACAGAGAAAGACAAATACCATATAGTTTCACTTATATGTGGAATCTAAAGAAGAAAATAAATGAACAGACACAACAGAAACAGATTCATAGATACAGAAAACAGACTGATGTTGCCAGAGGGGAGGAGGTTTAGGATACTGGGTAAAAAAGGTGAAGGGATTATGATGTACAAATTGGTAGTTACAAAATAGTCATGGGGATGTAAAGTATAGAATAGGGAACATAGTCAATAATACTGTAGTAACTATGAATGGTGTCAGGTGGGTATGAGACATGAGGAGATCACTTTGTAGTTACATAAATGTCTAATCACTATGCTGTACACCTGAAACTAATATAATACAGAATGTGATTAAAAAATAAAAAAAAATTAATTAAATAGAGGATTTTGCAGAGTTACATGGGAAACACAAGGGTAAGAGAGCTTGGGCCATGAAAGGCAATTATGCAAGACATGCGTGGTACATGTGGGGACACAAACCTGTCCCAGGGGTTATGGGGCAATGAACTTGCTGCTTAGGGCTTCAGATTTTCTAGAACAGGTTCAAGTGCCAGTCTGGCCATTTCATAGCTGTTTAAAGTCCTTCAGCCTCTGAACCTCAACTTTTTAGCCTGGAAATGGGAAATAATAACTCTCTTATCTGGTTATTGTGAAAATCTAATGAGTTAACATGTTCACAAATGCCCTGCAAATGCTAAGGAACTGTACAAATGGATGTATTTATTCTTCACAATCAATGTACACTCCTTTGGTTTCTCCGGAGCTGCGGGCTGCAGCTGGAGTGGGCTGGAGAAGAGAAGAGATTAGAATCCGTTCCCTCTTCACTAACTTTCTTGTGCTCACCCACCAGCTTATCTAAAAATGATCTTCAAGATGGTCTGGCCTGGCCTTTCTCCCAGGTGTAATGCATTGATTTAAAAAAGCCTATCTTCCTACCCACCCACCTGCAGAAGATGGGCAACCAGTTCAATAAAGATAAGGGTACATACACACCACCCACAAAGGTCACTGAGATTTGTTTTAAAATGACAAGTCCTGGAAAAATTGTATATTCAGTGCTCTTCTTCTTCCCAATGAATCACAGTTATTTTCCTTACTCAGATTAAAGCCCTGGGCAGTTGGGAGGTTTGAGCAGGGAGGCATGGAGAGTGGCCTCGGTCCGTTAGTCTGTGACTCTTACCTCAGTCTGAACCATGTGAACCCTGTGAAGCCTTAGGTCATGCACTGCTCCGTAAATGTCCACAGAGTCTTTGGAGTCTAATTGCTGGAGGATTCGGTCCAGTGCAATAAAGGTTCCAGTCCTACCCACGCCGGCACTAGGAGAGAAATTGAAGGAAGACTGAGTGTTTTTATTATATTGGCCTTTCAAGATTACATCCAGAGACTTTAGCAAAATCTTTCTTTTCCCTTCCAAGTTATGGGAGGATATAGGATAGGAGAATACTTGTTTCTCTCCACGGGCTCGCTCAAAGAAATGTAACTACAGCTCCAGCCTCTACCTCTTTCATTCTCCTCCCCGACTTCACCAGGGGTAAGCACCTCTCTGTGCTTGGTGCGTATCATTTCCATGCATTTTAAAATACTTTCCCTACATCCATCTAAATCCATGAACGATATATTCATTTTATGCGTTTCAAAAATTCACTAAAATGGTAACATGTCTCATGTATTCTTTTGACAACTTTTCTACTCAGTATTGTGTTTTGAGATTTATCCATATTGTTACACACACACATACACAATTTTTAATTACTCCATAGAGTCCATAAACCATTGCTAATCCATCCACTGCTGATCTATTCCCTATTGATATACAGCAAGATCACTTTTAGTTTTCTCTGTTAAAAACTGTGTAGCAACAAACATCATTTACACGTGTGGGCACGTCCCTAGGGCTGATATGTAGAGGCAGCACTGCGAATCATTGGGTGTGAACACTTTCAGCTGCACTAGGGATGGGCAAGATGCTCCCCAAAGCATCTGTCTGACCTGGGGATTTTTGCTGCCCATATTCATAAGAAAAAGAAAGACAGTTCTTCAGGGGTCCTGGGTACAAGTGCCTGCCATTCTTCAGCAAGCAGGAAGCCCCTGAGTCCCTCACATTCCTATTAAAAGCGTCAGGGTTCCAGTGACCTATAAAAGCAGAGCTCCTGGGGTGCTGGGCTGATTGGGAGAAAATGAGTGCATTTGACATTTCTTACTCTAGCAGTTCCCTGCTCCATATTTATTAGTGCCATTTAGTTAGGGCTATCAAAGTGTTGCTGCAAACATTAATTAGCTAAACACCAGGCTCCCCAGAGAGAGAGGGTGGGGAGGGGGAGAGAGAGGTATGGATTGCTTCTTAGGTTGATTTTATGGATACACAGTCTGAGGCCAAGAAAATTCAAGAGAGAACATAAATTTAAGAGTTAAATTGGGTGCTACAGATGGCCAGCGCTACTCTGCCTAGAGGGAAGGCTAGAGCAGGGATCTTGAAGGAGAGTTAGGGTTTTTATAGATGGAGGAGAAAGATAAGACTACTCTAAGAAGTAAGAATGGCATGAGGCAAAAATAAGCGTGTGTAGTCGCTACCCTGGCCTGGATGGGGGTAAAATAGGGTGTAATTATGGAAGGCCTAGAAGTTGCACAAGGACTTTGCATTTTGTACAGTAGGAAAACAAGCAAGAAGGAGACACAAGGCTGTATCATCGGGGTGAGAGAGAGGAGGGCTGTGAAGAAGGCAGATAAGGAGAAGTCGGTGAAAAGGAATGATGTTGGGGAGAAGGGAAAAGTGAATGTAACAACATCCTCTGGGCCCAGACAGATCCTCCACCCACCAGATACCCCACCCGTCTGACTATTTCCAGACTCGCAGTTATCATTTTATTGGCTCCTGGGCGGCGAGTACCTGCAGTGCACCACGGTGGGCCCGGCGCCCGGTGTCCTGTTGATGTAATCCCTGACGGTTCTCACAAACTGGATCAGGGACTGGGTGGTCTCCGGGACTCCGTGGTCTGGCCACACTGTGTAGTGAAAGTGGCGGATGAGTCTGTGGGCGTCGAGCTGCTCCTCCTGTAAGAGCGGAGAGGGCAGTGAGAACAACCCAAGGCAAACCTTCAAGTCTGGCAGCTGTGCCCATGCAGGAATGCCTGTGGGCTGAAATGACAAGAGGAGCCAGCAAAACTGGGATTCCCAGGTGACCTTTACCTCTCCAAGCTGCGTTAATTAAGTGAAATCAGACAAACTAACGTACGCTGCATATCCTAAACTCCCGGATGGTCCACTCAGGCAGCACGGATTCCGAGAGCACCTGCAGGATGAGGTCCCCGTAGTAGAGGGAATCCTGGTCCGCTGGCCAGTAATGGTCACATTTCACCTAGAGGAAAACAGAAAAAACGTGAGTCCGGAAATGTGACTCCTCTATGAACCTGAACTTTCCCTCCTCGAAAGGTCTTCCTGAGTTGGAATTCAGGATCTGCTGCTGAAGCAATTTGACCATCCGCTTTGTGTTAACCTGCTGCCAGCCAGCACCAAGGCTGAGCTGCTGCTGCAAGTGTGGGGGAGACACTCTGCCCGGCAGCAACCCCCAACCTCTGGGTGCATCTGCCTTCAGATAGTGTCTCATGGTTGAGTTTTTAAAAAAATTTCCTTAGCATTTCAGTTCTGCTAGTAGATAAACCATCTTTTAAATTTTTTTTTTTTTTTTTTTTTTTTAAAGAAAGATCTAGCTGGGCAGAGGAAGACACTGTCTTTAAGGTCCTGTTTTGTTTATATTTGGATATCATTGTTCTAACCTGGACCAAGTGGCATGTGCCAAATGATGTTTGAAAAGTCAGAACATTTAGCTAACCTCAAAATTATGTGTAGAAAGACAGGAGAAAAAGTATTATTAACATATATTATTGACCACAGGTACTGGGCACTTTACATGTAAACTCCCTTTTAACCCTCAAAGTAACCATATAAAGTAGAAGATTATAAGTGCATTTCAAGAGGTTTGCTTAATTTGTTCAGTTAACTACTTTACTTTGTGTCTGCAGACACAGACTAAGGTTCACTTCTTCTTTCCTAAAAGTAGGGGCAGAGCCCGTGACCCTGGCAGAGCACCTCCTCTCACCGAGCACTGAAGGATGGAGCCGACCAGTGGCCGGTTCATCTTCCTGTGCCACGGGCACTTCTCATAATCATAGTCCTCAAACGGAAACACCTCGGAAACGTCAGACTCAGGATCTGAATCAGGCATCACTTCATAGAGCCTTTTATAACTGAGCGGCTTCATTTACTAGCGGTGTTCTCACACAATCCTTACTTAGCTTTTGCAGGGGTTAACTTTTGATGGTGGGGAAGAATTCCCTCCAGGTGGCGGAAAGCAAAGTTCGGAAGTCAGAAAGACTGTTTACTCACTCGGCCCTTCTCCACACATTGGGTCACCATGACAATGTTGTGAACATTCTGTTCCCACGCCATTTTCCAGAAGTCATCCTTAGTGCCAGGAAGAGGTCCCTGAGTAGCAATGTATTCTCTTCTGAAGTTGTTGCCCTGCGATGAATTTACAATATGGAGAGTAAGAAACAATAGGGCTCTTCAGAGCTATAAACAAAGAGCACTGCAGATTAGATGATATGTAGGTCTTTGCCAGACCACTGACTTGAAAGAAAGATACTGACACAAGTATCAAGGCTTGGGGGCAGGAAGGACAAAGGCCGGAACATTGAACTATTGTTGAGAGCCAAATTCCCTTTTATTAGGCTGGGTCTATTCAAAAAGGCAATGGAGGACTCAGGCGATAATCTAGAAAACATTCCTCTGCAATTGTGTGTGTGAGCATGTGTGTGAGTGTGAGGGACTGACTTTGATCGGGCTCTTTCCCTAGTTAACGCAGAAGCTTGTAGTCATCTTGGATAATTGACATTAGAATGTTGGGAAGAGATGTCAGGCAAGGGAAACAAGGAAAGAGGAAACCACTGTTCATAGAGCACCTGCCATTTAACATGCTACGGACCAGGGCTTTCTCAGATTTTACTTAATCTTAACTACAACTCTGTGAGCGAGGATATTTTCACCCACTCGTTCTGTACTCCAGCAAAACAGAATCCCTTGCAGATCCTAGTCAAAGCTCTTTCTCTTCTTTCCTCTCCTCAGGGACTCTGCATGATGTCACCTCTGCTCCCACGCCCCGCCCACTCAAACTCGGCCTCTCATCTGGCTGTTCCTTATTTATCCTGCAAGTCTCGGTGTGTTGCCTGCTCTACTGCGCTTTCCTTTATCTTTCTGGCTGCAGGGGGATGTACCTCTCTTGTGGCAGCCTCGAACCTCTTGCTGCTCAGACAGTGGTCCTGGGGTCAGCAGCATGGGGTGAACTTAAGGGCTCGTTAGAAGTGCAGAACACCAGGCCCCACCCAAGCCCCACCCAAGCCCTGCTGTATCAGCATCTGTGTTTTAATGAGATCCCCAGGTGATGTGGATGTGTGTGCCTCATGACGTTGCTTTGTCATTTCCTGATGCCCCAACTCTGCTGAGAGCTCCTTGGGGTCAGATTCTACCCTGTACATAGCTCAGTGTTTGACTTATAGCGAGCACTTCCCAAGTGTTTACTGAGTGACACAATGATTATTTCAGATAGATACTGTTTGTCTTCATTGTTTGGAAAAGATAATGAAGTCCCCAAGAGGTGACATAACTTGCCCAAGGTCACAGAGTCCAGCGTGGGGCAGAGATGGGATTAAATCCTGGATCTGTCTGACATGAAATCTTTTTCCACTGTAGTGTGCTGTAGGAAATTGGCAAGATGGTAGCCAGAACCTGGGACCAGAGGTTTGACACAAAGTTGGAGCTGTGTCTGTGGTTTTCAAAAATCCAAATAACTTTGAATCATGCAGGCTTAGCAGGGGAGGTCCAGCTTCTTTAGGGAATGCTGACCTTGGCTAAGAGCTGCAGTGGAAAAATAACCTGTGAAAATACATCCTGGGCTCATTATAATCTCTTGTGACTATAGCTATTGTGAAAAATGGGCCTTAGCAGTGATTGAATTGGACAGCCCATGTTTTTTGGCAATGAGACACAGCCTTGTCTTTTAAAGCCTCTATGTTTCCAGACCGGAACACAGTAATAGCACGTAGGAGAAGAGGTACATCTAGTGTGGTCACTTATCAAAGCTTCATCTGGGTGCGACAGCTTAGCAGCACACTTACAGGGATGTAGCTGGCATTGATGTAGTCGGAGCACGGGTCATCATCTACATTGGACAGCTTTACTCGTGAGGCATCATCTGGAAGGAAGTTCATTGAGGCAGATTTGTCACTGAGTCCTGGGGTGATTTTTCTACGGTTTATAGAATGCTTGGTCTCTGACGTGCATTAGCTCTAATCTCCACAACGGCTCCCCAAGGACTGATCCTCACCTCCATTTTGCAGATGAGGCTCAAACAGGATGACTAACTTGCCCCAGGTTGCACAGATGGCTCATAAACATACAAACAGCCAAATGCCTTTTGAAGGTTCCTCTGTGCTTTCCTTTGTACACTATGACATTTGCCCAAGGAGTGGCCAGCTCCCTCTCCCTGCTAGAATGAATACAACCCAGAAAAACTATCTCCTATTGTTTCACCTAACAGGGTAGGGCTAATGAAAATATATAACAATTATTTAATTGTGATTGGTAATGGGAGACTTTGTTAAGTGCATATTGGTTGGCCTTTGCTCTTAACCCTGTTATGGCTCTGAGGCCTGCAAGGAGAAGCAGTAGGACCACATGGTGAAATGTCAACAGCATGAGAAGCCTCTCAAGACTGGAATTTAAGCTGGTTGTTACCCATCTGGAGGGAAGTGCAATAACATGCAAGTCATTCCTTTTTAAAGGCATTCAGATCTCCCAAATCCAGCTATACCATAATTCCTTGGGTCATTTCATTCTGGGAAGAGAGGAGAAATAGCTAGACGAAGACAGTATTACACATTTCAACACAAAACTCACAGGGCAATATATTGTTGTATCGATTTTTCCCTCTGTTCTCCGGCAAGAGTGCAATGTCACACGGTTGGTTTCGACCCACGTCTTTTAAGTCCTGTTAGATCAAAAATAAGTTTGTAAGTAGAGAATATGAAATAGAAGGTGGTAAATCATACAATCCTTGAGAGAGATAATAGTGAGAGGATATATGTACACTAGCTACTGTTTACGGAATGCCTAGTGTTCTGAATGCATTAGCTCTGATTCCCACAATGGCCTCACCAGAGGTATTTTCATCTCCATTTTATAGATAAGGCTCGGACAAGACAACTAATTTGCCCAGGGTCACATGGGTGGCAAAGCTGGGAATCAAATCCAAAGCCTGAGCACTTTTCCCCAAAGCCTGTGGTTTCCCAGTCAAGCAAATGGCCATAAGGTTAATTAACTGACAGTGTGAGCTTTGCATTTTCACTATGTTAATTCTTTCTTACCATCTTATCCAGGTAGCACTTCACTGTGCTAATCTGGAGAGGAAATGGCCTGTGAAATGAGGTGGTATGTTGCATAGGGAAGGGACTCAGGCACAAAAGAGCACTCAGCTGAGATCCTAAGTGCCATCCAAACTGTTGAGCCCAATCAGCCCATGATTCCACAGTACAGGTTGGGAGGGAAATTCTGCTAAGGATCAGGGTGCTAAAGAATCATTGAGTCTGAGTTGTACCTCATACTCCTTGGATAGGAGGTAGTTGGAGTCAGCCTGCAGCTTCATGAAGTGCCCTTCAAACTGATTTACTTTTATTGGGCTATAGTTAAAATATAACAGAAGGAAAAAAAATTACTGAAGGGAAAATGTCATAACCAGTTAGAGCTATATTTTAAAAGCAGATAATAGAGCAATTAATGAGTTTTCTCTCTTACCAAGAAGTTTTCCGGTTACTGTGAAGGGAAGCCAAAAGAAGGAAGACCTCATTAGTAAACCTCACATAATACAATCAACCCATCTTGCAGTAAATTGCATGAAGGAAGATGTGGTGCTCACCCTTTCTGGCCTAGGTTCAAGTGGACAGTTAACGATCGATCCCGGCGGATGCTCAGGTGGGCAGAGGGCCTATCTCGACCGTGGCTGTAACATAAGGGACAAGATTTAGATTCTGATTTTGAAACTGGACTTCAACACACTTTTTCACTTATGGTAAGGCTGTGCATGTTTGTGCATATATGGATTTTTCAGTATTCATGTAGATTTAAACCCAGCCAACGTTTCTTTGAGGGAGGGAAAGAGAGGAAAAGCATAATGAAGACAGAGATTTTTCTCACTCAGAAACAGATCTCTGCAATTGCTGAAGATTTTTCTTCTGGTTTTTGGCTACAGGTCACAATCACTTCCCACACTCTCAATAAAACTTTCCTTAAAAAAACCCCCAGTAAACCTTAGATGCAAGACATGACTTCAGGAGATCAGTGTGCCAAATAAAAGAAATTCCCGAAGAGAAGGGAGTGCGGCGTTGGGACCACATGCTTTGGTTCTTTTTGGTCTCTCCTTAAATTAGCATAGCGGATATGAGCCATAAAATGGTGATGTCAACCACACTTTCCAGCATATTTCAGAAAAGTGCCTGGGCACACGATTTGCAGACATCTCTGTCTTCATGAAGAGATAGAACCACGTATGTTTTTTTTTTCTGTGCAAAAGGTGTTATTTCACATTCAAATAAAGCTGCCCACAGCCCGTCAGTCATTTGGGAAGGGCAAGACTCATCAATGGTGACTAGAGAGGTGGGAAAAAGTGAGTCATGGCTTTAAGGTTTGACTTTTGTTTTTCTTGACACACAAAGGTGATTTAACTGAGAGAAATCAAATTATTTTCCCTTCTTACTGTTCAGACTAAAGGGCATTTTCCGTTACATCTTTAAAGTTGTGGGCCCAATCACCAAAGGGATCTTTGTACTCACCTCACTTTCTGTCTGCAGATGAATAAGGCAGCAACAGCCACCAGCGTGCCAATTAAAAACAGGCCAGCGCTCACACCTTCAATAACTCCAAACAAAGGCTCTGCAATAATCCAGAGGGAAACAAGAGACCCAGGTGAGCACATCAGCGCAGTAAGGGAGCTAGAAGCTCTACCTCCCCAGGAACATGATTATGAGGAATTCAAATGATGCCCATATTGAGGCATTTACTATCTAAAGTATGGGAGTGTGCAGCTGAGAAGAGGAAATGCTGGCTACTACCCTGTAACGGGCAGGCTGATCATTATACTTCTGAAGTTAATGGTATTTAGCTTTTAAAGGAATTTTGGACTTGTTTGTGCTTCTACGTAAAGTTTGGGACCCTTGAGATACATGTTAGCAATTTGTGAACAAAATAAAAGTGTTATTTCATTTGCATAAAACAAATGAGAGTATCTGGGACTTCAGCAAATTCAGTGAATTGCTGAGAGTTATTTTAACAAAGTCTGATTTTTATTTTTTGGTATAATACTGCCACTGGGAGTTTATAAACAGGTAAGGGTAGCCCGTTTTTAAAAATAGTTTTATTGAAATGTAATTCACACACCATACAACTCACCAGTTTAAACTGTATAATTCAATAATTTTTAGTATAGTCTCAGAATTTTGCAAACATCACCACAATTTTATAACATTTTGCCACTTCCTCCAAAGAAACCCCATGCCCTTAGCTGGCATTCTCTATTCTCTCCTCTTCCTAGCTCTTTGCAACCCCAATCTTTCTGTCTTCACAGATTTGCCTATTCTGGATGTTTTGCATAAACTGAATCATAAATATGTGGTCTTCTGTGATTGGCTTATTTCACTCAATGTAATGTTTTCAAGGTTCAGCCATATTGTAGCATTGATGAGTATTTCATTCCTTTGTATGATAATATTCCATTGTATGGACATATCATATTTTTTACCCAGTCATCTATTAATACATATTTGGGTTATCTCTATTTTTTGCTTATTACGAATAATGCTGCTATGAACATGTGTTTACAAGTTTTTGTGTGGATGTATGTTTCCATTTCTCTTGGGTATATACTTAGGAGTGGAATTGCTGGGTTAGATGGTAACTCTAGGTTTAACATTTCGAAAAATTGGAAAACTGTTTTCCAAAGCTGCTCCACCATTTTTCATTCTCACAAGCAATGTATGCAGTTTCCAACTTCTTTATATCTTTGCTATCACTTGTTATTGTCTTTTGGATTATATCAATAGTTATTTTACTGGGTGCAAAATAGTGTCTTATTGTGGTTTTTAATTTGCATTTCCCTAATGAATAGCGATGTTGAGCATCTTTTCATGTGCTTATTCGATATTTGTATATCTTCTTTCTTCTTTGGAGAAATGTCTATTCACATCTTTTGTTACTTGTCTTTTTATTACTGAGTTGTAATTTAAGAGTTCTTTACATACTATGGATCCTGGAACCTTATCAGATATATGATTGGCAAATAGTCTCTTCTATTCTGTGGGTTGTTTTATCTCATTCTTTATGGACTCCTCTGAAGGGCAAAAGTTTTAAATTTTGCTTAAGTTCCATTTATCTATATTTTCTTTAATTGCTTGTGTATTTGGTGTCATATCTAAGAAACCATTTCTGAACTCAAGGCCACAAAGATACACACCTTTATTTTCTTTTAAAAGTTTTATTGTTTTAGCTTTTACATTTGGATTATCCTATGGATTAGCCCACTTTTGAAGTTTCATTTTAAGCATTTGGATTTGTTTGTTTAATGTTGCTTTTCAAGACTCATCAAATTAACGTAATCATCTTTCTTTTGATTGTGGTTAGTATTCTTTTTTTGAACATATGTTTCCTATCTTTCTTTACTGGATTATATACAATTTTTGTTGTATACCAATATTTCAAAGAATTTCCTCAAAGAATTGTTGTTTACGAGCCTCTACTTAACATCAAATTATAAGCAAACATGTCAAAATCATCTTCACTGTGTTCTGATCTGTTTTTGGTTTGAAAAGTGGGAGATTATCCTTATATTTGGCATAAATAGACGGGAGTGTTTGTGGGGCTGAGTCATTTCTGTCATGCAGCATGACAGACTGTTTTAGCTCTGCAGAAGAACTTCCTGAGACCAAGCATCATGAAACTCTGGCTTCAGGAAAAGTCTGGAACAGATCAGGTAACAAGGAAAAATGTGCTGAAACATACTGCTATTCTCAGCCTATGAAAATGTTCCAAGGCAGTGCGAAGGGTAAGGAATCGGGCAGAAAGTGCCCAAATACCAGCTCTCCTATCTATCCCAGCTCGACTCTGCTTTATTCAGCATGGTCACTAACAGTCTCCTTGATTAGGGGACATTGGCACAGAAATCTGAGTTACTTAAATTGTTGGTGCCCCAGGTCCTCACTTTTAAAATGGGGATGATAAAAGTGTCTCCCTCAAGTAGTAGTTAGGATTGAATAAATTAGTCTACCTACAATGCTTAAAACTATCTCCACGGAGAAGGTTCTCATCAAGTAAATATTAGCTGCTATTATTACTCAGGTTTTCCTTCTAACACACAAGAGAAGTTTCTTTAATAAATTTATGTAAAGCCTTTTAAGTTAACATTTTTATAGTGTACAACAACATATAACAGGCAAAAGGAAAAAGGTCACTTGTAATCCCACTGCTTTGAGATACCCGTTGTTAATGCTTTGGTATTTTTTCTTCTAGTTCTTTCCTATACATTTCTATGTATATGCACACATACTTTCAAAAAGCCTTTTGTATCTATTTATATTTGGACCTGTGCAAGCTCTTTATTTGAATGTTTTTCTCTCAGTATTAAAAAATTCATCTTTAATTTAAAAAAAATGTGGTAACTTCTACCCTTTTCTAGATTAACCTCCCTTCAGTCCATTCTCTTACAGATGTGGATTCCTCTAATCCACATCAATCTATAATCACATAGAGATTACATTCTGAGTAGTAAGAAACGTTCCCTCCCATCAGCCACATCAGTAGGCCTCCTCACTAGAGGTCTCTGCAGGTGCCTCGGTGGTTGGGAGAATATGTGGGTAGGTGGAAAGGTGAGCCTTACCTGATTCAGTGGTGATAGGCAAGGAGAAAAATGTGTCTGAATAGAGCGGCTTTGTGAATTCCTTTTGGTTCTCATCAAACAACTGTGTAAAAGCTCGAATACTGATTCTGAAAACAGATTTATTTAAACACAAATTAGTGGCTGACCACAGTAGGGCTGACTGAAGAATGTGTTCAAGGAGAAACGGGGGTCGGGGGAGGCACCTGTCAATATGCATGTAAGGTAGAGTGTGAATTATGGAATCTGGCAGACCTGGGTTTATTTGTTCGTTCGTTCACTCCTTCATTCATCAAATACTTACGGAGCCCCTCCTGTGTGCCAGTCCCTGTTCCAGGAGCTGGAGATGCCACAGGAAAGAAAATAAAAGCCCCTACCACCCCAGAGCTTACTTATATTTTTATGGAAGCAGTTAGATAATAATTACACAGATATACTATGCCAAATGGTGATATGAACCATGAGAAAGAAAAAAGCAGAGTAAGGAAGATGGAAAGGAACGGATATAGGGCATATGGGGCTGCTTAATTCAGCAAGATCAATAGAGGTCTCCTTGATAAAAGGATAGACCTGAGGAAAGGGAGGGAGGGAGCCATGGCTGCCTTCCAGGCAGGTGCGAGGCCCTGAGGCGGCAACTGCCTTTCTCCCAGGAGGCCGGCAGGGCTGAAGCACAGCACTGAATGAGGGAGCATTAGGGAAGGAGCAGAGATCTAGATGGGGCCGGGCCATGGGAGACCCAGAAGGACATGGTGAGGATTTTGGCTTTTGTTCTGAGAGAGCCACTCGACAGAGGGTGTTATCTGGGTTACCCTGGCTGCTGCAGCTTGTAGAGCAGACAGAAGGGTGATGGTAGGAGAAGAGAAACTAGTTGGTAGGGGATTCCAATAGTCCAGGTGGGATATGCTGGCTTGGACCAGAACACAGTCAAACTGGTAGGGAGAAGTGTTGGATATTTCAAAGGAAGAGCCCAAAGATTTGCTGATGGATGTGCAGCATGAAAGGGTGGAATCAAGGATAACTCCACAGGTTCTGGCTGAGGAACAAGTGGAAGAGCACAAGTGCTATTTACTAACATCAAGGAAGACCATGGAGGAGAACATTGCAGGGTTTGGGAAGATACAGAGTTGGGAAGATACAGAGTTCATTTGTGGGGGCAGTAATTCCGAGGTGCCTGTCACAGCAGGCAAATATCAATATTACTAGTATTATTGTCATTGTTGCTATTTAAAAAATAAGTATATATACAAATAAAATTTTATATTAATCATTACATTACAAATAAAATTACCTATCTCCTCATCTTTTTGGCTCATCTTTTAGTTATTTTCTAAAGAGCCTTGTATCTAAAAATAGTTTAATTTCATTGCCATTCTTATAAAATTTACTGACTGTCTTCTTTACATATAATTGCTGAAGTCACAAAAAGATACATGGTCACTACTCTTGGAAACTAAAAAACAACGTAAAGAAATATGGCAAGTAGTAAAAGAAGAAAGCCCATATTAAATTGCAAGTGAGGACAGTGTAATTTGGAGGTAACCATGTATTTGGGCATAAGTATATGGGGCGACCTGGAGCACAGGGTTCCACGTGGGGGAGAGTAAGAAATCAAGTGGAAGAGGTAACCATAGGCCATCTGGGAGCAGAATGGTCCCTCTAGAGACTAGCGTGATGGTCCGGGCCAAGCACCTGGGGCCTTGGCCTGGGGCAGTGGTGAAGAGGACAGAAAAAGACCAAAAGGCACTGAGAAGAGGGGCCAGATACGACCTGGTCTGAAGAGGAGAGGGAGGGAATCAAAGATGGCTCTACGATTTGAGCTCAGGTCATTGGGGAGAAAAATGGTATCGCTGATAGAAATGGGAGCTAAACTGAGGAAAGAGGGTGAGCCTTGCTTGGGCTTTACTGGGGTTAGAGCAGCAGTGAGACATTGCTTTAAAACCCTCCAACTGACACACGGAGCTATTCCAGTCACCTGGACAGAGGAGCTGCTGAGGTGGCTGCCCATGTGTCCGTGAGGGAGGGTGCCTGGAGAGCAGCCCTAAATGCACTAAGCAAGCACGGTGCGGCTCCGAAAACACAGAATCATAACCTCGGCCTGAAGGAAAAGCCTATTGTACCCATCATCAGACCTAAAACTCATGTTCTCTGGGTGAGTCAGGTCCAGTCTGGAGGGCTGCGCTCGATTTCTGGGGACATGGTTTAGGAAGCATTAGAAATCATCTGAGGTGACTGACCAGCATGACGACAGGGAATACTCAGAGGAACATGTTAGTTGACTTCAGATTTAGTGAAGACTGCCATGAAGAAGAGGAAACAGGTGTAATTATTTTCCTCCTTGAAGACAGAACTAAGCTCTGTAGGCTGAGGCCAGAGAGCTGGACTTTAGGAACACAGAGTCACACCCTAACATCTAGAGGAGGAGCCACACAGGCGGTGAAGGGCTGTAACTTATTGAAGGGCTTTAAGCAGAGGCTGGAGAAAAGCCAGCTCCCAGGGAGCCGGCCCGGGAGGACTGCTGCCCTCAGCTAAAGGTGGGCCAGGCCGCCTCTTGAGCTCTGTCTTTCTTGAGACTCTCAGACTATAGGTTTACTGATAGAGGATCAGGTTTGGTTTATAAGGGAAAACATTTTCTGTTGTTAATTTAAATCCTATGAAAGTGAATGAAAGATTCCTTTTTTCCTTTTCAAAAAAGCCTAGATATGTTGAACCCAAAAGAATCTGGGCATGTGCTGTTCTAATGCTGAAGTAATAACAGGCCAGAAAAAATTGTTCTGACCCTCTGTCCTCTCCTTCTAACTTCTGCCTGGGTCTTAGGGTGATCTTACAATATGAACTAGACAATACAGACCAAGCACATCTATGGTTTCTATCTCTAAAAGATAATTTCCACATCAAAAGTTGTACTTCTGGGCTGTTGACAGAAATATTGTGAGATATCCCCAAAGTGTAGCCAGCAGTCAATGCGGGTAAAGCAGGAAGGTGAGGAGTTGGTGTGTGATACTAATGTACAGCACCTTTGGAAATTTAAAGGAGTCTATCTGATGATATGGGTTTTTAAAAATAATATTTGTACAGTAATGTATGAGTGTGGAATTTTACAAATGGGGTTCTTTTGATCATCTCAAGCCTCTCCAATATAAAGAAGCTTATTGCATTACTTTAGAAGTTTGGAACTTGAAGCTTGGAGGGAGTCCACGTGTCATTCCTGACCACAGAAAAATCTGGTGCAAGGAAACCAACCTTCCTATTTTTTAACTCCTGGTGCAGATCTCTTTCTCTTACTTCCTCCTGGCTTAATTTTGGTTTGACAGGAATGACTTCTATGGGAGGGATAGTTACAAGGGCTCATGCCAGGAAGCAGAGGGTCTGTGGCCTAGCTCTCATTCTGCAGCCGACTAGTTGAATTGTCCTTAAAGTTGTTTATGCCACAGCTTCCTCACTTGTAAAATAAAAGCCCTGGCTATAACCACCTTGATATGTTCTATTCTGAAATTCTAGGATTCACAGGTGCAAGTGCCAAGTGTGAAATGAATCCAGATGAATAAGGACCTTTAGGAACCAAAGAAGGAGATAATGACCTAGAATAGGCTCAGCTTAAAATTACTGGGTCATCAAGAACTCTGCCCTTAAAATTCTTTCCAAAAATGGACACCACCAACATATTTCCTGGACCAGCACTTAGCAATCATCCAGAATCCTCTCTCATCCTGTCCTCTTGGTCTTGCCTTTCCCGCTACCCCTTTTCATGCCCTCCCCAAGCCCTGCTTGAAACTGGACTATTTGCTCTTCTCTAAACAACTTGTGTGTTTCTGCATCTGTACCTTAAATCTCTGTCCCTATTTCCATATTTTAAAATCCTTCCCTATTTTTTTAATGCCCAGCAAAAAAGACACCTCCTTGAGGAGAACTTTTGAACCTTAACAGCATTTATTTACCTACACCCCTCTTATGTCCTTTAATAATTCTGCTCTCATGACATTATGTCTTCCTTGAAGGCAAGAATTTCATCTTATTGATCTTTCTATCTCCTACAGCACCTGGCCCAGTGCAGTTCACAGAGGGGCAAATGTATTGAACATATTATCAGCGGGATAAATTTAATAATATGAGTAAGATTATTTTAATGAATAGATACCTGACAGTAATTAGTTCAAGTTTAGCTGTGTCCAGAATCAGAAAGTTCTATAGCACCAAGTTAGAGATCATATGATTCTATTTCCTTTCTTTGAGGAAAACGAGGTCAAGGGAAGCTGACTACCTGATGTGGTCACATTGCTATTTTATTTAGAATAGAAACAAAACCAGATCAGCACTTTCCTAATCTCCAAACTGCCTCTCGGCCTTCATGCTCTGCCTTTTCTCTGCCCGTATGAAATGATACTAATTATAAAACCAAGTAATAGGAACCTAGTGATGAATGGGAACGCTTCACATTCGTTGGCCAAATAAACTTGCATATCAGGTAAACCTGATGTTTTCCAATTTCTTTTCAATCCTAATTTTTCCTTTTCTATTTTCCTTCCTGCCCACCTATCCTCTCTGGAAAAAAGACGCCTGACAGCATAGAGAATCACCGTGGTGATTATCGTCTTGAGACAGGCAGAATGCTGACTTCCCTGAGCCACCAGGGTTCAGCGGCTGCCGCGCAGGAGGCCGCTGAGCATGAGGCTCTCCCGTGTGCTCTGAAAGGCTATGTCTGCTCTCATCAAGCACTACCTGCCTGGCATGCTTTTCACATGACTGAACCAAATGTATACTGGAGAAACAGGAAAGCTGTGTCCTAGAAAACAAACATGCATGGCATGAGTTGATTATGCTCTAACAAGAATGTGTAACTTCTCATAGAGTATCTTGGCTCAGAAACATTTTTTGTGCCTGGCACTTGCCATATTGTTTTCTAACCAATATCACGTCTGTCTCCTCTGTTTAACCATGAGCTCTCTCAGTGTAGTGAAGAGGGTAGGTGATTAAACAAAGGGTTAAAAGTCACTGGTGAATGGAGGATTAGAAGAATGTAGGGACTCGGATCTGTGGAAATATAGCTGAGGGTCCAACTGCCTGACTGTACATTGACAAGAGTAGCATGGGGCTAGTTGAGAGCTGTGCTGGCTTTTCAACTGTCTGAAGGAATTCACTAGCCAGACAAGGGAGTGGCAGGCATCGCAAAGAGAGTGAAAAGAATATGCAAAGGCTCAGAAATGAAAGACAGCATGTCATACTCAAGGGAACTCCGAGGAGTGAGGAGTAGCAAAAGGGCAGGGTGTACTTGAGCAAATGGTGGGAGACAAAGCTGGTGAGGAAGGCGGGAGGGAGAAGGTGAGGGCTTTGCGTGCCCTGCTCTGGAATCTTCACTTGCTCCTAGAAGTGAATGGGAATCACTGGAAGACCTTCATCTAGAAGGGGCATGATTAGGTTTGATCTATTCCTCAGGACAACTCTGTAATGTTTTGCAGGAGAGAAAAATGAGGCTTAGAGAACTGAAATGCTGTTTATAAGGCTAATGCCCCCAAAAGGGCCCCACTGGAACTCAAATGCAGGGGTTTTCCTTAGGGCCTTGGCAGCTGTTGTGGACAGGAAGAAATGTTCTGGGAGCCTGGTAGGTCCTGGTCTGGACATGAATGCTCTCTAGCTTCTTATTCTTTCTCTCTCAAATGTAGTGATGAGTCATCTTCTCTCCTCTCTCAAAAAGCAAACAAACAAACAAACAAATGAAAACAGCTTCGACTTTTTAACTCACAGGGAGAAAATAGCCTTTGGGAGACTTTTGCTCAAGTTTCCTCGAGCCCAAGTGACTAAGGAGCAGAGGCTTCTCTTGACTCCAGCATTCAGATGTCTCTTATAAGTTTTTCCCCTGCTCTGCTTGAGATCTCACCCTCCTCAGGTAAATAACGGTCTCTTCTTGGAGTAAACATCACTAGTAAGTTCATGGATGTTTGTTTACTTTGGAGGTGCAAATCTTGGATGGGGTGGCAGTATCATTTTTGTGGTGCATCCTGGGCAGGGGTAACTAACTATACAGAGTTCCTGCCCAAAGTGAGCACTCTGTTTTAGGAAAACCATTGGCCTTCCTTTGTTGATGTGAGGGAGGAGCTAAGAGGGCTCTCAAGTGTGATGTCCCGTCATTGTCTCCTTTTGGAGCTGATACACGGAGTCAATAAACCTGGGCAGTGACCAATAAGAACACACACTGGCCCACAGAGAGCCTGATGGGCTGCCTTATTAACTACATATCAGTTCTGGGAACATACAACAGAGAAGGTACATCCTTAGCAGAAACACCCATCTTGAATGTCTATATCTTTACACGCATGCAAGATGGCAACATAGGTCCTCTTTCTCTTCAGGACCCTCCTTGGGATGCTGTGTACTTCTGCCAGTTTCCACAGCTGGGAGGGCCTGCTGGCTATAGTACTGCTCCCTGGGATCACACCGAACAGCTGCTCCTTTCCATCTGCCCTCTGCGAGTGAGGAAAGGATGCTCCCGTTCACTCAGGGGCCTTGCTCTCCAAGGGTTCTGTCTGGACCAAAGGACACTTTCATCATTTTATGTTTTAGAAGACAAATACATAGTGTAATTTGAGTCCTTATTAAAAGTGGAAGATAAAATCTCATACTTCTTGGGCCTCCCTATCTCAGCCTTTCTAGTTGGGCATTTTCACAATCATTAACCTGGGAGTTGATTTGACTTGTACAAAAGAAGTTTTAGGAGAAAAGAACAATAGAACCTTCACTTCTTCACACAATGAATTAGAGCATTTGCACAGCACTCAAGGTCCTTTTTACACATTACCTGTGAATGGAGGCAGGCACACAACTTTTATAAATTACTCAGTAAAATATAAAGCACTTTTATAATGTAGGTGATTAATTGATAGGAGCACATATCCACCAGAGGCCCACACAGCTGAGCGCCCAGTAATGTGGCATGTCCCTTCCAGCAAAATGATGGCAATATATCTAACCTGTAGGCAGTTCGCGGCTTCAGTGGTCCATCACAGAATTTTTGCTGATTGGGATCACATTTTCCACCCAGGCTCTCCATCTCTGCTCCAAGCTTAATGTTAAAACTCTTGGAGTTGCTGTCAGGACTCTCGGCACATTTGCTGGCAAAATAATTGGTCTGATACACTCGAATGGAGGCATTGTGCCTGTATTCCAGGTAGGAGGGCAGAGGGTGCTGTTGTTCTGGCTTCAGCTCATCACTGCCTGGAGGGAGAAAACCCACAGTGAAGACTGACTTCCTTGTGCCTTCAGTGACTTCTACCTACATTTCGTTTCTTTCTCCCTCTTTCTTTCTTTCCTTCCTTCCTTCCTTCCTTCCTTGCTTCCTTCCTTCCTTCTTTTCTCTTTCTCAAATTTTATTTATTTTTTAGAGAGAGGGGAAGGAAGGGAGAAAAAGAGGGAAACACCTATGTGTGAGAGAAACATTGATTGGTTGCCTCTCACACACCGGCAACTCAGGACCTGAAATCTAGACCTGTGCCCTGACCGGGAATCAAACTGGCAGCCTTTTGGTTCACAGGGCAGCGCTCAACCCAATGAGCCACACCAGCCAGGGATCTATCTAGGTTACTAATGTTGACTCCTCACCATCTCTGGGCATCCCCAGAGTGCAGAATTTCTGATCTCAAAGGGTGTTGTGAAATTCCCCCAATATAATTAATTTTAATTCATTTTCTAAAATAAATTAAAAATAAAGTGTGTAAAAGCAAAATTATACACAGATAAACATATATACCATCATTTTTCTTGGAAATGAAGTGTGTGTGTGAGAGGATATCACGACTCCAGAAAAAGAAACACTCCCTATGAGAGTCAACCCACTCAATAAGCTCTCTACCGTGCCAATAATCACTGTAGCTAAGCTAATAAGGAAATCCCTATGACCTGAGAAATAAGGAAAAGATAAGAGAAATCAAGTCCAAGGCCAGAGCAGTCATCCCACTTGCACATTCCACGTGCCACGCCCGGTGTGATTACTGCTCAGGGTACAGGACTGTTATCTTGAGTACAGTTTAATCCTGGCTTGAATTTGGCCCCTCATGCAGAACACTTCCCAGAACTCTTCCCCTGTCCACCCAGCCTGCTGTGTGTTTTGGCACTGCAAATCAGTTCTGATGGTGGCTGGAGGAAAGCATAATTAGGAAGATAAATATTATGGAGGTCGAATACCATTTAGAATGAACTTCAAGAAGTGGTACGGTAGGGGTTCATTGCATCCTGGACTCTTGTTAAATAATTGCTCAAAATGAGTGGACCTTGAAAATGTTATTTTGTTGGCAGTGGTTGAAAAGGAATGTAGACTTCAGGGTGAACGCACACGCTATAAATGCCACTTACATGAGATGGATTTTTATGTTAGATCACTAGGGGAGCACAGCCCATCTCCGCGGACACCCATAATTGAAACCCATCTTGTTTTCTGGGGCATGACTTCTTTTTGATCACTGCCTTGTAGCCATGTAGTAAACCATTATCTTCATGTTAGCCTACTTAAATCCAAAGTCTCTCCACAGTGCAACTTATCTCCAGTTTTGAGGTGTGAAGAAATGTGGGATGCACCACGGACCCTTGACATTACTTAATTAAATGTGCATACCCAGCTTTAGGACAGTTTAATACAATATAAAAGCACACAGACTGTTATATACCCAGTGAGACTAAAATACTATCTAGTTCCAACATTTGTCAGGTTTACAGTTTCCCATTGCCCATAAATGGGTTAGAATAGTCAGGGATGTGTAAGAAGCTCATGGGTAGCACCTTAAACAATTTTGAGAAATATAAGACATGCAAAATATATCAATGTCATTCCAGACATAAACATTTATTTTGGAGAAATAACAGTGGCAAATGCACTTACGTACATGTGTGCACCAAAATACAACGCTGCTGTGTTGTGACAAATGTTGATATATATCATAGTCTCTAAAGATCATACTAAGTGGTTGTGTGGGATGTTGTTAATAACCTGGTATTTGCCTGATCCATAGGAATTAAGAAGACACTGAATAACTTGAGAACGAAAAAACTAGAGAATAAAACATACTATTGAAAATGCAGTTAGAGAACAGAGGAATGTTTTTTATGATCATCTTTTTCTTCCCTCAAGCTTTTGAATATTTTTGTGAATTGGTGGGTGGTTTGGGAGCATGTAATTGGTTGAGGTATTTGAGACAAGGACAGAGGAAGACAGCTGAAGCATGTCACTGCTTATTGGCAGACCCGAAGAGCAGGGAACAGGACTGAATGAGCAGTGAAGGAGATTGAATGAGTCAGCACATGCAACGTACTTTCACCAGTGCCTGACACATAGTACAGGCTCAGTAAGTGATGATTATTGTTATTACTGTTGTGGTTGCTATAATTATTGTTATTCACCCATTTAATAATTATACTCAGCAGATAATAGGCTTTGTTGTTCAAAGAGCCTTTGAATAGTTTTCTGTTACATCTCCCTGCATCTGACAGAGATGAATGATAGAAAAATTAAGTTTTTTGCATTTAAGAACTGTCATAGAAGGACCCCCCACAGTGACCTTTGAGAAAGAAATGCATCTTACAGTAGAGTGAATTCACTTACCATCGGCCTCTCTCACTACCACTGTGAAGTATTTCACAGCGCCATTGGTGTCGCTGAACCAGCTGCAGTTGAAAGTAAAGTTGATGGAAGATTTGCTAATTAGCACATCCTTTTTATTCACACGGATATGTGGAGGTGGGGGAGGAGGGCCTGGGGAAGGAACCAAGAAGGGTCACAGCTCTGCTTTTACGTGTGAACAATCAGCAAAATGAACGGTTCCGCTCACCCACATTCCTCTCTCCCTCTCTCTCTCTCTCTCTCTCTCTCTCTCTCTCTCTCATTCTGTGTGTGTGTGTAATCACGAAACCCTTCTCCTCTCCTGAAGAGAAGCAGGCGGAGGAGGTGACCTGCCAGTGACACATTACGCAAAATGAAAGAGGCAGCTCCTCAGTGGGATCTCCTGGACCTGTAGCATCAAATTGCTTAAAAGCTTCACTATAGCTCTATCAGGCAAAGTGATATATTTAAATACTAATTTACGTATTTTAAGATCTTTTAACTTGTTTGCTGCCAGGGTGCTTTACGCAGAGAAATGTTTCCATTTCCCAGAGTGTTTCAGGTCCTCTTCTCTAAGTGACAACAAGACATGACATTGTGGAAGTGAACAGGCTACAAGTGAACAGCAGTGGTAGACACTACAGAGAAAGGCGCACACCAGGCATACACTGCTGGGGACACTTACGGTCTATCATTGTGATAGTGCTGTCTTCCACCACCTCGCTGGTCATGCCAGCTGACTGCACCTTGATGGACACCAGGTACCTCTTATGGGGCACTAGCATCATAATATTGAGCAGAGATTTTTCCTTGTCCAGTTTTCTGGAAAACTCAACTTCTTGAGTGTCCATTTTCCGGCATTCAATGCTATACCCATCAAAGTCGGAATCAGGAGGGATCCAAGAACAGGCAATGGCTGTGGAGTTCTGAGGTCGGCAATGCAGGTTTTGTATTTTGTCTGGCTCTATGGGAAAGAGAGGAAGGGACGCTTTTCACAACTCTGTGAGATACCATTTTTTTTTTTAGCTCCTTTGGGTCCAACTAGCTCAGAGGTCTAAATAAATAATTCCCAAACTTACTTTGGATTGTTTTCTGAGGAAAAAATTCCCATAGATCTCCAAGGTAATGTCTGTCTGCCTGCCAGATTTTATTTTGAGAAATTTTAGAAGTCAAAATGCTGTCCCTTTAGAAAATCATGAGGTGCCAACATGACTGGAAACATAAATGCATATGTGGGTACTGAGATCCAGTGGCAGAAGTCAGATGGAAGGTAAGGCAGAGTAAAGGAGAAGTCAAGAGTGCAGCTCAACCTGCCTGAATTCAATTTCTGTTTAGCAGGCATGCACTCTTGGGCAAGTTACTTAACACATCTGTGCCCCTTCTGTGAAATAGGGAAGTTAAGATAACCCATCATCATATGGTTACTGTGAGATTCAACGAGTCGAAACTTGCATAGCCACCTAGAACAGAAGCTCATGTAGTAATTGTTCAATAAATGCTGGCTTTCATAAAGAGAAAATTAAGAAATGGCATGGCTGGCCTGTTACCCTCTGGGCTCTGGCTTCTGTCTCCCTCCTCCATTTTTTTGCCTGATCCTCCCTGCTCACACTCCAGGGCGCTGAAACTGCTTGTGGCTCCCCATGTAGACCACACTGGTCTATGCTCCTCTGCTTACGGTCATTCAGTTTTTTCTGTCTGACAGAGTGCCTGACCCAGGAAGGACTCAGTGAATGGTAGCTGATCTTATTGTGAATGACAAAACAATGAGTAAAAGATTCAATCTGAAAGAAAAACAGTTATGTGACTGTTCTGGTTCATAAGAAACTGTAGGTTGCCCCAACCAGCTACATGCTTACCATTTCTAATTATTTATATATCTATAAAGCTAAATTAAACAATTTAACTACATAATTTTTTAATTTTAATTTTAGCACCTGAACCATTTTAAAAAGAAAAGTTCTGCCCTGGCTGGGTGGGTCAGTTGTATAGAGTGTTGTCCCAATACACCAAGGTTATGGGCTCGATGCTTAATCAGGGCACATACAAGAATAATCAATGAATTATCAGTGAATGGAACAACAAATCAATGTTTCTTTCACTCTCTCTAAAAAAAACCAAAATCAATTAAAAAAAGTCCTCTGTTCCCCAATATGTAAAATCAAAGGTATTCTGGTCTGCATTTTAAATGTGCATTGAGGTCAGGGATACTACGCTAGGGTCATCTCCCTAAGACCTGCTTTGCTTTCCCCCAGGAGTTTCCAAGGAGCCATCAGTTTCTGGAATAGCACTTGAAAGCCAGGAGTCAAAGCCTTCATGAAGATTAAATTTTAAAAGGCTGACCCATTGTTCTATTGACCATAGCTCAAAATACAGTAACAATCCTCAGATGGCAATAATCAATGATGTCAACCCATCAAAAAAGCTCACAAAAGAACTGGCATTTGAGACAAGCAGCAACTGTGCCTTTTCAAACATTAACTTCTTGTTAAACTTTTGAACTCCTTTCAAACCAAGTCAGAGCTGAGACCCAAAGACACCTTCCCTTTCAGCCTTGGAGAAAGCCTTTTAAAACACCCCATATAATTCATAATTCTGATAATTCATGCAAAGAATAATATGGAATCTAGCTTCCACCTCTTTCCTTCATTTCTTCTCTCTCCTTTTCACATCTAAATCCCACCTGCCTTCCAATACGCAGGTGCCATCCCCATTCACTAAGAAATGATTCCTGCTATGTGCAAGGTGCTATTCTAGGGACTGTGAACAATAGAGAGGTCAATACATCAGCCTCAGCCTCTAGGAAGAAAGAAGACTCCAAAGTAGCTATAATACATGTAAGACAGAAAGGAGAATGTACCAGAAGACATAGAAAAGAAGCTGCTGTGTAGTGTGACAGACACATTTCTGCTCCTGGAGCTAGTGGTGGGCAGGGGCTTAGCAAAGGCTTTCTGGCAAAGAAGACACCTCGCCCAGATATTGGGAAAGGCATTTCAGGGGAGAGAACCATCCATCCAGGCACCAAGGGTGGGGATGGGAGGAATGGGAAAGTGGATGATGCAGAACTCCAAGTCATTATTCCTCATGGCTGGAGCTTATTTGTGAGTAATTGGTTACTGGAATGATTTTACATGAGAATTATAAACTTCTCTTTTGTTTAATCCTTTTATTTCAGGTTTTCTATTACCCACTGCCAAACCCAACCCTAACTAATACAATCTTCAACGTTCCATCAGTCATTCCTCATAAAACTCATCACCATGTCCCTCTGCAGGCTGGTTGCTTTTCTCCCGGGCGTGCCCCATTGGATAAATGCCGCTCTTCAACACTAGCATCTGGGACTGAATTCAATCCTCCAGATGTGATCTGACCAGCCCAGCCTCTACTGAGCTCTTAAACTGTGCACCTGGGATTCAATCACACGTTCCATCACAAGCCACTGAAAACCCACCCTGAGCTTGCTCTAAAACAAAAACTTGTAGTTCTTTTTCACATATTTATCTTTACACACACATATTTGATCCCAAACTCGTGTTTGGATACAATATGGAGCACAAATGATAATTGTTATAGTATTAATGTTTGTTGAATAAACAAAACAACTCCTGGCATAAGTTTCTAATTTTCAACTAGGTATTTTATCAACAGCCACTGTCTGATCTGAGAAGCTACATTTACTAGGTATTACTGAAAAATAAATATTTGGATTGAGGTTCCTATACAGGAAAACCTTTGTTTCTTTGATGTTTGTTCATTGATCTCAAAATGCTTTTGAGAAGAAACTGACATATATTTTGTTAAAATATTTTTCTCCTTAGGATTTATTACAAGATATCTTAACTGATCCCTCTGCTTCTAGTTTGCCCCTTTCAACCTATATTTTACACCATACCCAGAGTGACTTTCTAAAGTACAAATCTGATTATGATACCCTGGCCCAAAATCCTTCAGTGGCTCCAACTGGTTGAGGATAAAGTTCAAAGTCGTCACCATGGCTCAGAAGACATTTTATAACCTGATTCTCCTAATCTTCACCTTTTATGCTCTGGCCAAATAAACTCCTTGCTGTTGCCCTCTTGTTCTTGGAATATTTTATTCTCTCTACTTGGGATATTTTCCACTTCTTTCCCCATCTTCACCTGGCAATTCTACCCTTTCCCTAGGTTTTGATTTGGATGTTTCTCTTTCCAGGAAGCTCCCTTTGCATTGGGCCAGATGTCAGTACCAGTGGTTTCTTACAGCGCTAAATGCTCCCTCCATCAGGCCCAAAATGTAATTGTTTTTCATGGTAGTACCCTTGACTGTACGCTCAATGAAGGCAGAACTTATTTATTTATTGTTCATTGCTGTTAGTATTAAATAAACAAACAACTCTATATAGACTTCTGCCTGAATTCATCTAACAAATTGCAAGTAAAAATGTGGATTTTAACCAAACCCTATCAAGAATGTATGTTGTAACACACACTTCCTCCTCATGCCATCTGAGAACCAAGAGTAGCAAAACATGTCATACTTGTCCTCACAGATCCAGAGACCGGTCTGCTGTAGGTTTTCCAGGAGTCACCACTGACAGTTTTGACACTGAATTGATAGGATCTCCCTGGACGAAGGCCATACACGATGCGTCCTTCTGATTTTCTGTTGCTGTAGGGGTTGAAGACTGTGATCGCATCTCTGGGTAACCACTGCACCTCAAAGTCATCGTAGTCTGTCCAGTCTGGTGGCCCCTTCCAGGTGATGGCCAAGGATGTGTTTGCAACATCAGTAAATGACATAAGACTAGGAGGACTTGGGGCTATATGTAGGAGAAAGTGAAAAATCATGTAATCACCTCTATTCCATAACATATACAAATAAGATAGCTGTGTGACATCTGATGTCCTTTAACTGTAATTCATAGGAAGAGATAATGTAATATAATCATAGGAGCTTGCATTTATAGTGTTTACTATGTGTAAGGTGCAGTCCTCAAGTGTTTTATGTACACTTTCTTTAATTTTCATAATCACAGCTTCCTTACCATGGTGCTGTGAAGCATGAGTGTGCCAAAGTATTGATTCCATCATATTTTGAGATGTGAGAGCTAAAGTCCACAGACTATGTCCATTTTCAGATGGCTTTGTCCATTGACCCCAGCATGGCACACAGATACATTAATGTTATTTGTGTGTGCCCAAGAAATAAAAAAAAATTAGGAAGCACTGCTCCTAGCCACATAATGATGATGTATATGATTATCCCCATTTTGTAGACAAGAAAACTGAAGCTTAGTGATGCTCAATGTCCTGCTCAATTTCACTTAAGTAAGTAGCAGAGCTAAGCTAAAGAAGTAGATCATTTTAACCAAAGTCTGTTTCCTTCATCCGCTTGTACCATTGTGCCTTGCCAAGTTCAGGGGGAAGCACATGGCATACTATTATTGACTTTATTTCTTATTAAAACCATAATTAAAATGTGTCTTTTGACCGTTGGCACCTGGTCTTCTTACCTGTTCGGCTCTCGCCTGTGGCTTGGTTGCTGAGATCACCACTGTGGGTTACTACACACAGGGTGTACTTCCTTCCAGGAACAAGACCATTAATACCCCACTCCATCAGGTCCTTCTCTTTCTTGTTTTCCTTCTTTGTGCCATTGGGATTATAGAGAATCAGCTCATAGAAGTCGAAGTCCCCAGGGGCTGGACTCCAGCTAAACCAGAGACTGTCTGTCATGTTCCGATTGGATCCCTTGAGGTTACTCACAGAGGCTGGGACTGAAACACAGGGAAAGTCTTTACTGAAAACAACAGATACAAAGGCATTTTGGCTGACAGGTGAAAAAAGGAGCTATGTTGGGCATATGGGTGAGTAGTTCCTATTGTAGAGTCAGATCTTGCCTACTCTTCAGGTCACTTAGGTTTAGGGGAATGTGGTCTAGAGACATGGTACAAAATAAAATAAAACAGAACACAACAGGTGGTGGCTTTGATATGCTGTCACATGTACTCTAATGAACATATAAAATGAAATCTTCAGAAACGATTGACTGAGACTGGTCAAAGAGCGTATACCTTAGCTCATAAAAGGCCCTGACAGTGTTCATAAAAGGTTCAAGCCCCATCCAGGCCCATCTCACTTGCAGCCATGAAACCAGTAACATCCTTCTCTGAGTCTCTTCACTTCCTCTCCAGCTTTTAAATTCTCAGTTCGTCCATGCTCTTTTTAACCAAGATTTTTACTAACAGTTGCTTCTAACTTTATATAAATTGGTTATGCTGGCACCTGTTCCGTGGGTATTTGAGTATCACCATTCTTTGAAGAGTGAAGACTGTTGTCTCTTGTCGGAGGAACTTTTAACATTAATAAGCAGATAAGAGAAGATGTGCCAAGTGCAGGCTGCCCCAGAAGTGGTACCATGTAGGCCAGTCTATTCATGCTTTGGGCTTATCTGCTGTTCCTTCCCATTCCCTTCAAAAGACAAACTGAGGACTTCCGTCAGGTGCCTGGAATGTGCTCCTCTCATGGCTCCCCTAGGGTTTCAGCTGAAATGCTCTCTCTCTCACATAGTTTCCTGTCCTGCCAACTTGCTCCCTGTCACAATGTACTGTTTATTTCCTTCATAGGATTTAAGGTATTCCAAAATCACCTCCCTTCAAAATATGCTGTTCCTGCCCCTCTCCCTCCTCTAATGCAGAGTTCTGTGAGGTCAGGGGTGCCATCTGTCTTGTTCACTGTCATATTCCAGCCTGAGCCCAGTGCCGGGGGCACAAGAGCACTCACTCAAAAACTACTGTCAAGGGGGAAAAAATTTGAATAGAAAAATGAGATAATGGGCTCAGATCATGGAAGAAGAGTAGATCCAGGTTATTTGCAGTCCAGAGAGATGTTTCTCCCTCTCATTTGCCAGGAATTCTTGGTGTTCACATCATGAAGTGCTGTGGTTTTAATTCACAGCAGTCTGCTTGTTCGTTCCGCTTGCAGTTGCCCTTTTCCAGGTCTGCCCTCCATTCCATCTACTTCTTGTAGAAAGAATAAGGGCACAGCTTGAATTGAGCCACAATGGGTTACAACCTTCTTGCAAGTAGAAGAGCCAGATTCACTTTTTCCATCAAACCCTATCAGGTAAACAAGCGGAGGCAACAGAGCAGAATCCAGTGCAAAAACTATTCCATTATACAATCAAACATCTGATCTAGGATCAGAAAACCTGAAGGTCACAAATTACATATAAAGCTATACCCTGGATTAATAGGAAACTAAGGACAAATCAAGGAAAGCGAGTGACTATTGTGACAATTTCCCTGTTATTCATTACTGCTTGGGCCCTGGTCTTACCTGTTCTCCCGAATATGAAAGATTCATTAGACAGCTCCCCACTGTGAGTTACAATCACCAGTTTGTACATTCGGCCTTGTAGTAAATTCTGGAAAGAAAAGCTCTGGACTTGTGGATCAACCTGAGCTCTCTCCTGCAGAGTTCTATCTGGGTTGTACAGAAAGATGTTGTACCGGTTGAGCTCTCCCTCTGAGGAGGTCCAGCTGAAGGACAGGTGTCTTGTGGAGTTCTCTGTGATCTGCAGATTGGTGACAGCTGCTGGGACTAGAAAAGTTAAGGAGCAAGAGAGTGAGGTTGAGTTCTGGCATGCCCCTCACACAGTCTAGGATGATGCTACGCCCACACGAACACATGATCCCTAACCTGACAAACAAGATAGAAACAGAGGCATGGACACATGGAAGAGACTACCAGGTGTCAGAGGGGAGTGGGGAGGGGACTGGATGAAAGGAGGTGAAGAGACCAGCCAAAGAAGATACATGTGTAACCCATAGACACAGGTTGGTGATGGTGACAACCTGTGCGGTGAACCTGTGCGGTGAAGGCCGAGGGAGGGAGAGGCTGGGCGGAGGCGGGCAAAGTGGGGGAAAATGGAGACATCGGTAAGAGCGTCAACAATAAAAACAAAGTTAAAAAAACACACGGTCTCTGCCTTTAGAAAACATTGGCTTCATGGAGACCCTAAAGCGAAGAAACCTAATTATTGATGCTGAAATTATTCATTATAAAAAAACCAAAACCACAAAAGAACAAGGAAAAGCAGTAATGGGAAAGTATCTTCAAAGATATTTTGCAGGGTAAATATAATAAATGTTAAATCTGACCTGTCTGACTAAATGTTTTTCTAGTTTTAAGAGCTATATTAGAGATTTAAAAAAAACTATCTGTGAATGCAACCTGAGAGTTAAGAAATGGCTGTCAGAGGTGAGGGAAGTGGGGAGGAGAGAGTGGGAAAGAAAGGGAAAGGCAGACAGAAAGGGGAAATTAGAGTCAGGGATATGAGAAAGAGAAGCAAGAGGAAAGCTGAAACCACTTTAGAAAAAAGTTTAATTAGGATTTTGCAACCCCATTGGTTGTTAGTGCTACCTGTTGGCAAAGTAATCAAATGCCAAGAGAAATCATCTGCTTCAAAACTGTTGGCACAAATACTTCCTGTTTCCACAGAAGTCTTAAGATGCAGGTGGAAACAGAACAGGACACCTGCCTTGGTCTTTCCTGAGTTGTTCTCTCTCCACTGCAAACATTTTCTCAGGCTCTTTTGCTTTCTTCCTCTCCTTATGCCAGGCTCTTAAATGTTGGTATTTTCCATGATTCCATCCTTTGTTCCCTTCATATCTTATAACACTAGCTAAGCAGTTGATTTCATTCACTTTATGAAATACTATGGTCTGATGTTTGTGTCCCCCATCCCCCAAATCCATATATTGAAACCTAACCCCCAAAGTGACAGTATTAGGAGGTAGAGCCACTGGGAGGTGATGAGATCATGAAGGTGAAGTCTGCATGGACAAGATTAATGCCCAAAAAAGAGGCCCCAGAGAGCAAAGCTCTCTCCTCCTTCCACCACATGAGGACATGGTGAGAAGGTGCTGTATTGAACCAGAAAATGGCCCTCACCTGATATCAAATCTACTGTGCCTTGATCTCAGACTTCCAGCTTCCAGGGCTGTGAGAGATAAATATCTGTTGTTTAAGCCACCCAAGTTATGGTATTTTTGTTATAGCAGCATCAACAGACTAAGATTTGGATTTAATTAGAATTTTTGTCCAAATTTTTATCTGCAGCTCTTTTCTGAGCTTAAGCCCATATTTTGATATCAGTGATCACCTCTTGATGAAGCTCATTCAGATATCTCAAACTCAGTCCTGAACTGAATCCTCTGTATTTCTCCTTGAAGCTTCCTCTTCCTGCCTCTCTTATCTAAATTAATGGCATACATTCTACCAGACACGCCAAGTAGAAACTCTGGAATCTTCTGTTCCTCCATCTGTACTCCACTCAGACACCAACTGTCACCTTATCTAATGTAGAAATATTTCTTGACTATATTCACTGTTCTTCATCAGGGCCCTTGTATTAGTTTAGCATTTGACCCTTAGGATTTCTACAGCTACGACTGTCTCTTGACCCCAATTACCCTTCTGACTGCAGCCCCTCATTCTGTTCTCACTCCCTCTTCTCCAGTGACACTGACCTCTTTTCCCTCCAGCAGGCCAGTCACCTTCCTGCCTCAGGATCTTTGTCTTGCTGTTTGCTCTGATCAGGGTTATTTTCTCCAAATATCTGCATGATCGTCTTTCTCACTTCTTTCAGATTTTTGCTCAAATGTCACCTTCTTAACAAAATCTTTGAGGACGGTGCTGTCTAAAATTGTAGGCTTCCAACACTTGCTATCCCACTTTCCTGCTTTAATTTCCTCTTTGGTATTTATCACCATCTAACCTCACATATATATTACATATAACATACATTACAGATGCAATATGTATATGTAATATATATAAATACATATATTTATCCTCACCCAAGGGCAATTTTTCATTGCTTTTTAGAGAGAGGAAGGGAGAGAGAAAAACATCAAGTCAATAGGGGAGCATCGATTGGTTGCCTTCTATACAGGCCCAGACTGGGGACTGAACAGGAAATCTGGGTATGTGACCTGACTGTAAATCAAGCCTGCAACCCTTTGGCTATGGGATGATGCTCCAACCAACTGAGCCATACCGGCCAGTGCTTACTTATTTATTTTGTTTATTATCTTCTTTCCCTACTAAAATATAAGCTTCATGACCATGAAGGCTTGTTTTACTCACTTCTATGTATCCAGTGTTTAGAACAGTGCCTAGAATATAGTAGTTACTCAATAACTAACAAATTAGTGAACAGGTCTTCCCACACTGGTCTTTTCTCCATTCAATCCAACCCCATTGCCATTTGGTTTATTTTTTTTAAAGTACAAATTTTTATCCAAAACAGTCACCCCCTGACTAAAAACCATTTATTGCAAAATGAAATATAACTCCCTGCAGAGGGCACGCCAGGTACTTTCTAATCTGGCCCCATCCTGTCTTTCCAGCCTCATTCTCTGTCATGCAACACCCGCTTCAGCCACCCACAACACCTCCCTGTTCCTCCTCACACCCCTCTGTCCTGGCACAGGGTGATCTGTCTGTACAGGGTGTCTGTGTGCTTGCCTACCTGTTCTCCATGTGGAGAACTGTTTCATCCTTCATGACAGTACTGAAATGTCACTTTTATGGAGACTTCCCAATTCCACCCAAACTCCATGCTCCCCTTGATGTTGGACATTCTTTTCTTATATAAAACTTATCAGAATGTATTGTCATTATTTTCCCACGTGTCTGTCTCCCATACTAGTCAGTCAGTTAGTTCTTCCAGGACAAGAAGCAAGCCTCATTCATCTTCATGTGCTTATCATCATCAACCCCCTTTCAGACCTAGGCACTGATAAAGAAGTAATCAATTAGACCAATGCTGTCTGAATAATGACCCCCAAAGATGTCCCTGTCCTAATCCCCAGAACCTATGAATTTATTACCTTACATGGCAAAAAGGACTTTGATGATGTGATTAAAGTAAGGATCTTGAGATGGGAGCTTATCCTGGATTGTGTAGGTGGTGACCGATGCAATCACAAAAGCGAAAAATGGATGAGAGAGGCAGAAGAGTACAGAAGGAGATACAGTGAGGAACGCAGAGGTTGGAGTATTACCGTTGCTGGGTGGGAACCACAATCCTGAGTGGCCTCAAGAAGCAGATAAGGGCAGGGAATAGATTCTCCCCTCAAGTCTTCAGATAAAACACAGCCCTGCCTTGATTTTAGCCCCATAAAACCTATTTTCAGATTCTGACCTCAAGAACTGTAAGATAATAATTGACATTGCTTTAAGACATTTGTGGCAATTTATTATAACAGCCATAGGGAACTAACATAGCCCGTTTTGATGAATAATCTAAATTGGACTATGGTGGGCTGAAGGCTATGTCCATAGGCCAACTGATGTGGAAGTGGTAAATCATGCAGAATGTTCCTCCTGTGTCAAGAAATATATATCATCTCCCAGTTTTGCTCCATCCCTCTCAGCCCACTGTTCTCAAGGAATAGCAGACAAGGAGACATCTCATACAAAACAGTAGACTTGTGTAAATTACCTGTTCGGCCTTCAGTTTGGGCTTCTTTGCTAAAGAGGCCTCCACTGACAGTTAGTATCTGTATCTTGTATTTCTTTCCTGGTGTTAGGTCTTCGAATTTGTGCTGCTTAGCCCAGGCTTGCTTTGATGTGTTACTCAGAAGGATCCCGTTTTCATTTAGAAGTAGGATATCATATCTTTCTGCCACGCCAGTGGCTTTTTGCCAATTTACTACTAAGGAATGACTGCTGTAGACATTGTCTGCAGTTAGTCCCTGGACAGAAGCTGGGACTGCAAAGAAAGAGAAGAAGCAGGTTCCATCATTGACAATAAAGTAACCAGTTGAAAAAAACTCTGCTAAAGCAACTGCAGCTAGAAGAGCATGCCTCATTATTGCATTGACACCTTCCACGTACCCTTAGGAGAAAACAGTCCTTGTCCTGAACTATCTATAGAATTGCTTTGATTTTCCATTTTTTTTTCCTCTGAATTTAGACAGGATCTTGAAGTCAGACAAGTAGAAAAATTTGTGGAAGTGATATTGATAAATATGCAGATTGATACATATGTGTTTTTCAAGAGAGTGGAAAAATGCTGAACAAATCTACATTCAACAGATATAGTTTGGAGTCATTTGGACTTTCATTACCAAGATTAACTTGAGTCAAAGCTTTCACCTAAGCAGTGGTATACAACAGTGCTTGTACTATGATTCTTGATGTGAAAGGCAAAATAATATTATTTGTTAATAATAATTTGTGGTCTAGGCTCATATTTTTTCTCACTCTACATAACTTCCTTAGGAGAACTCATCCACTCCTGTGGTTTGATTTTTACCCACATGGTGATGACTACCAAATCTGAACTTTCCGTTCAGACCCATTTCCTCTTTTTTGCAAGTGACATCTCTCTATGATGTTCCACAGGTGCTCAACCCCCAAGATGACCAAATTTGACTCCACATCTCCCTCCCCTACCTTGCTTCCTGTCCTTTGTTTCTCTCCCATTGTCTAAATCAGAAACTTGCGTTGTCACCCTTACCCATCTACGTATGGTTAGTCTTAAGTCTTATCATTTCTGTTTCCTAAGTCTTATTTTTCTTAGATCTTTCCACTTTTCTCCACCCCTACTATCACAAGCCCTAGACAATATCCAATCTCTCATACATTATTGCCAGTCTCTTGACCAATAATACCCTTTATTTGTCACCTCTTAGTTTCAAACTACACATCGTATCTGGAGTATTCTCATAGTACACCAATGCTGATGACCCTTCAGTGTCTCTCCGTTATTCTAAACACCTTAACAAGGCATACAAGGCCCTTCGTGATTTGATCCATTTACTTACTTGGCCACATGGCTCACATTCTTTATGCTAGCATACTACATAGTGTGTGGGTCCTCAATGTGCCAAGCTTTCACCCTGAGGCCTTTGCTTTTTCTGCTGGAACCAAGTCAACATATGTTTTATCAGGATGATTTCTTAGTGTCTGTTGAAACATTGCTTCCTCCTGGAACCCCTCCCTGACTCTTCTGTCTGCTCCTATAGCATCCCATAATCATTTTTATTTTAGCACTTACCATGAGGTACCATAATTGCTTTTTTACTTCTTTCTCATTCATTATATTAGAAGTTTCTTGAGGTCAGGGATGTTTTCTTGCTACTGAATTCTCATTTTCTAACACAGTAAGGCTTGCTTAAATGTGGTTGGTAGGGTAATAATATGGTTGTAATAATTTATAGCTTTAATTTGAACATTTCACCTAAAATGTTATATAGTATGCATGAGTGTGAAAGTGGTGTTATAGAATTACATGCTTATGATTTTTGTAATAAAAGATTTTGTAATTAGAAGGGGTTGTTCTTTGTGCCAGATCCTGTATATATGTGAAATGAAGACATTGTAGAGCCCAAGTATCATAACTAAGTAAATGGTAATAAGAAAGAAGACATCTAATAAGTATTGTGTTACTGTAGAGAGAGCATGAGGTTTGGAGTCAGACAGGTCGATATTTAAATTATAGCTCTAGATCTTAATACATGCATCCTAAATAATGTTTCATGAACTTTCTGAGTCTTACTTTCCACTTCCGTAAGATGGAGATAATGATCCTTGTTGTAGTGTGACTAGAGATAATTTTAAATGCCTGGCATATAGCAGGTACCTGTAGATTATTTTTGTTTTGAAAGTAATGTATTAATAGTGATAGTAATATAAATGGATACATTATTCATTAATTTATTACTTGGTCTTTAACTGTCACAGATGAAAGAGATGGCATAGGGATATATGTTTTTCTTAAAAAAGAATTTTGAGAAAGGGGTGAAATTTTGAAAAATGCATATTTGTTGAAGTCTGCTTGTTAAAATTTCAAATCCTTTAGCAAGTTTAAAAATTTATTCAAGTCATTTGGTTCTTAATTACCTTTCATTTGTTTTTAAAATCTCTATTAAGAAAGAAAACTGCAAAGAAAAAACATGAGAACAGCCCTTAAAACCACATTGAATTGTACAAATTTAGGTGGTTTGAATCGGATATTTTTGATGTGTGATAACTAAGCCCATTCATCATCTCATTCTGGAGAACAACCTGGCCCAGCTGGATGCTCACCTGTCCGCCCGAGCACATCTATCTGGTTCCTCAGGGACCCGCTGACCGAGGCGATCATGATCTGGTACTGTTCCCCGGCCTCCAGCCTGTGGAATGTGTGCTCAGAGACGTGCTTGGGGATAGTCTGAGAGTCAACCTTTTGATTCTGCCTGAACGCTGACACTATGTAGGAATCAACATCTCCCCCACCAGGGGTCCAGTTCACCGTCAGGCTATCTGTTGCCCCATTGGGAGAAATGTGAATATTTTTGACAGCGCTAGGAACTAAAAGACAAAATAAATTGAAAAGTCATCACTCAGAGAATGAACCGCAGAAATTTCAACCACAGTTTTTGTGCTTCTTATATTTTGGCATTTACTGAAAGTGCACACATAGAAAAAATTTGTATCGATTTACTATCTTTCTCTGACTCTTCTGCCTGAAGTTAATGGGGGAAGTTTGAGGGACATCATGGCCCGTGATAGAGTGAGGGGCTGGTTAGGTTGCCGTGGTCCAAGTCTTGGTTTTCTCATTTATTAGCTGTGGGACTATAGGCAAACTACTTAATCTCTGTGAGTTTGTTTTGTTATCAGAAAAATGGTAATGATAATAATAGTAACTGGCCCATAGAGTTGTAAGAATTGAACAAAATGTATGTGTTAATTGCTTTGTTGTGGGTCTGGTTCATGGTGAACTGTTAATAAACATTAACTATTATAATGACCCTACTTAGAGAGTTCCAAAGAAGTGATACCCAACCAGCAGAAATATTTGTACTTAATTTGTATGCCTCACAAGCACCAATTATTCACATCAATTCAATACTATTTCTCAGTAAAGCTTTTTTAAAATTTTTTTTTATTTCCCATACATCACACTCTATATTCGTTCATCCAGCTTGGACAACATTGTTGTCACCGTCAAGATAACTTTCTCCCCTTCTTATTTTTACACTTCCAAGTCCTCACCTAAGACAACACCTGGCTACTCAACATGCTAAATACGGTTGGCCCTTGAACAAGGTGGGGGTTAGGAGCACTGGCACTCCCCCTCCTCTGTGCAGTTGAAAGTGTGCATATAACTTTTGACTTCCCTAAAAGTTAACTGCTAGTAGCCTACTACTGACCAGAAGCATTACCAATAACATAAACAATTGATTGACTCATATTTTGTGTTTTATGTGTTATATACTATATTATTACACTAAAGTAAGCTAGATGAAAAATGTTATTAAGAAGATCATAAGGAAAGGAAAATATATTTATAGAACTGTACTGTACTTGATACCGTAAGTTTGTCATCTATTTACAAGAGGAATTGTCTGTCTGTCAGCATGTACATCAATATTGTCTTATAAGATACAAAACACTATAGATGGTATACATGCTACTAACAATAGACATCAAATATTAAAAAAAAGTGAAAAGAATTATTTTTATTTACAGGTATAATAATTCATGGATTAATAATGAAAAAACAGAAATATGATTGTTTTATGGTAGCCTAGTATAATAGCTATGATTTCTTCATGGGAGTAAAAAAGTCACTTCAAATTTTCCAGTATATTTATTAAAAAAAGCCTGCAGATAAGTGGACCCACACAGTTCAAATCTGTGTTGTTGTTCAAGGGCCAACTGTATACCACTATAACTAGTCGGGTTCAAGATCCGTATCTCCAATTACCTGTGAAGCCCTCAATGAAGGCTGACTGCTGCACATCTCCACTGATCGTCAACACAAGAATTTTATATTGGCGTCCTGGTGTTAGGGAGGTGAATCGATACTCGGTTGCAGTATTTACAAGGTGAAAAGCAGGAAATACTTTCATGTCATTGTAAAGCAGTTGAATCTCATACTGGTCGACATCCCCGTCAGCTCGTGACCAAGTCACCTGAAGTTCTTCAGTGCTCCTATTCCGCAACATTAGGTCCTTAACAGGCTCTGGGACTAGGGGCGGGTATCAGAAGACACTTCAGGAAAGTGACTGATCAGAGTTTATCTGCACAATAACTTATAAATCACATTTAAGGAACCGGCAAACATCTCCTTTCCCCCAGATAAACTGCTTGAATTACTTCATGCATAATTGAACAATAAAAATGGAAAGCAACTGTTAACATTGTTAAACTGTAATTTTTTTCCTGACATAAATCTTATATGGTAAATGTTGGTAGAATCTAATTATCAAATGAGTTATGATTTCAATCATAAGATAAAACAAAAAGTCCAGAACTTTAAATGTCACAATGCAAGTGGACAGGAAGAAAAATGGGACATGTGGCCTTCTTGCTTGCCCACTATGCTTCCATTTTTCTCCCAATAAATATTCTGTAACTATAGGCCATGGCTTGGCTGAATGATGTTAGCTCCAAGTGAGACTTACTGGGAATGTAATTCGCTAATAACCAAGTAGAGAAAATTCAAGGTTCAGATAAAGCATTTACTTGATGACCTACAAGTCTCAACTGAACATCAAAGTTTGTAATCTTTCTACTTACTTGTTCTCCCATTCCCTTGCTCGCTGGCTTCATATTGTCCACTTTTTGTACTAACAGTGACACTGTACAACCGTCCAGGGACTAAGTCAACAAATACACACTCATTTTCAGACTTGCGAATGCTTTTCGTTTGAGTGAAGTTGTTTTTGTTCTTAATGGTGACTTCATAGTGGTCAAAGTCTCCAGTGGCATGCACCCAGGATACCTTTAAATAGTCACTTCGGGCCGAGTTGCTAATACTGACTCCCTGGACCTTGTTGGGCACTGAAAAGGAGAGCAGAGAACAGCTAAAGGTACTTAGTGAGCATTTGGTCACAGATGACAACCTGAGACAATAAGAAAAAGTGAGTAGATTTTAATTGTGTACATTTAGAAGAAAAATCTTAGACTTTTAGATCACAAATTTTTGTAGGGGAAAGATTGTTATACTAATTGGAATGATTAATGGATTTTTTAACACAACCTGATGAATTAATTCTAATTGTGTTGTTAGCCTATACAAAATATCATGTACAAAACAGAACATTAAACATGATAACTGATGATTAATATGAATGATGGCAATGATATTAATAATTCCAGCATACCTTGGTGATTCGAGACATGATAAAAAGTCACCAAGAAGAGGATAAACAATCCAAAAAGAAAAGTGGAAGAAGGGGAAACACATATAGTTAATTAATATATGAAGAGATGTCCAACATCATTGGTGACCAAGAACTGGAAGTCAGGGCCATGACAAAATACCATTTTACATACATTTGATTGGCAAAATTTAAAAACCTGATAAAACCAAGTATGAGAGAGAATGCCCATCCACAGGAGATTGGATGAATGAACTTGTGTATATAGCAGTCATAATTAATTTCTTCTTAGCTCAAAACTCAAAAATATGGATTTCTTGGTTTTAACATTAAAGCACAAAATATGGGTGAATTTTATCAATATACTAGTAAGTAAAAAATATCTAAGTCCCAAAAGATTATATACTGCATAAAACACACCTTTTTTATGATGTTAAAAGAACTAAAAATTATAAAGCCCATAATTTTAGGACAACAAATAAAGTATGCAAAGTGGAAAGAAAGCACAAGAGGTAAAAATTAGAGTCAAGTTGATAGTTGCTTTGGGATGGATTAGTGGGGTGGAAACCCCATGATTTGACAAAGATTATTGTCAAGTTCTTAGTTTTTATTTTGGATAGTGGTTTCTCAGGTACATATTAAATTATTAAAAATTGTTGTCTAAATTAAATTAAATTAAATTAAATTTCTAAGAATAAATAAAAGTAGCAACTGACACATGGTTTCCTGGGCAAAGAATAATGATTAATCAAATTTTGTGCACCTGAGGTTCCCCTCATAAATATATAAAAAAAAAAAAATCCTGTGTACCTATGGTTTTTTTCCTCAATTGAGAAATCAATAAGTACTTCTTAACAGAAACACTTTAAAATAAGGCGATTCTGTATTTAGAGTGTAGTATTAAGGATATTCTACTTTTTATTTGGGGCTGTATTTAATTCAACAGTAGACCATAGATTCGTTACTATTTAGCTAAAACTGCGTGTTATAAATATATGAGAAAAGGGCATTGGAAAGAGGTATGAACTCAGGTTCAGGGTACTAAACTTGTATCCCAACATTAGCATGTCCTCTAAGTCTGTGTGGCCTCAGTCTGTATTTGTTAAATCAGGGATTTCTCTTTTGGCCACATGCCAAACCTATGTCCAAGTCTTTTCTTCCACTTGTCCCCAAAGCATGAAATAACCTAGAAATATCAATATTTTGGCATCTAAGCTACATTTTTCATGTTTCTCACACCTACATGTCACACTACTATCCTTTGTTGGCTTAAGTGTACTGGTTAGTTTTTGTATTGGAATAAATCTCACCACAGATATGGAGCAAGGACAGGTATGTTTTCTTCAAGATATTTACCTGGAACCAATTAAGGTGTTGCTAGAATTTAGTCATGGCAGAGTTAAGGAAAAGAAATCCTGAAGTGACATTGTATTCATGGGGTAAGAAAGGTGAATGATGCAAGCAATTTAGTGAAGGCAAAGCAACTGTAACAGAAAGAAACACCAGGCTGAATACCATGCTCAGGCAATAAGAGGCTCTCTGGGTGCAACTGGAGGTAATTCGTAAGACTTGCCCTGCTGCATGGTGAGATGATGTGATACAGAATTAGAAATATTGATATTTTCACCCAAAATGTAGAACAAGAACATTAGAAAAGAAAAAGGGCATTGAGACAATCAGCCCAGATCAACAAGATGATAACTCAGACACGACTCTCCAGTTACACTGATTTGTCAGGGGTAACGGTTTGCCTTGGTTAGTCATGCACCAAATCCAAGTTTATGTTGTTGAAGAGTCAAGAGGATACTTTGAAAAAAGGATCACTTTTCTTGCATTTAAAAACAATCTTAGCAAAAGGCCTTGCAATTTGAAGGTCATGTGGATAGGAAACATCCGTGAGTTGACACCAAGGAGTTAGTAATTGACATATCCTTTAATTTTTGGTGATTTTTAGGCTCTACCTTGATCAACATAAGGCACTGACATAAGGCTTCTTTGCAAATAGAAATCTGCCTTTCAGATTTAAGTCATTATTGTGATTATCAGTATAATTAGACTTTAAATAATCTGAAGGTAGAGAATATCTCCATATCCTTGACTAGTGCTTTCAGGGATAGCAACATGTAATGGAAGTAGCATTGAACTTATTAACTACTGGTCAGCCATGTGACTGTGGAGAAGCCAGTTTCTCTCTGGGACTTTATCTCCAAATAAGATGGGATTCCATTATTTTTCAAACACTTTCAGTGCCAGCATGATGTAACAATGTAAATCAGTGGTTCTTGAACCTTTCTGAGGTCACAGAAACTATGAGAATCTGATAAAAACCATGAACTACGTGCCCCTCCCCCAACAACATACATGCTTTCCCTATCCCCAACAACTTCAGGCACAATTTCCGGGATTTCTACAATCTTAAAGTCTACCCATGGAGCACCAGGGGAACACCCTGGATCCCCATAAGTAATTTCTGATTCATTAAACATTTATTGAGTGCCTACTAGGTTCAGATCTTCATGGAAAAACTGACATTTTTCAATGTAAATATCAACCTATAGCTCAGCTGTAAAGATTTCACAAAATACTAATGTCAACCTTAAGCAGAAATCTCAGACATAAACCCCAGGAAGCAAACATATTTTGGGGAAAGTGCTAGCTGTCTAAATTTAGTTCTTTCCAGCACAGCAGACCTGGCATCCATCACCTTTGCAAAGATTTTGTTCTTGGTCTCAGAACTACAGAGGTTCACATTTTTACCTTGTGTGAAAAAGGATGAACAGTGGTCATGACTAACAGACATTTCAGGAAGGATTTCAGGATGAAGAACTTAGTGGGCTCTGGAGTCAATCAAAACTGGTTTAAATCTTGGATTTGAAATGCACTGGCTATTCAGCAAGTTACCATAAACAGTGGGCAAGTTACATAATTTTGAATCTTGCTTTCCTGATCTCTAAAATGGGAATAATGATAACTACCTAAATCAGAAGTTTTTAAGGGTTAAGGCAGTTAACATATGTAAAGCCAACATCTAGCAATCAAAAAGTACTCCCTAAATAGCTAAACTTGTTACTATGTTTGAATATAATATGAATTCTAGTCATGAAAGTGGTGTTCATCTTACACTGAAGGTAACATCTGCTCACACAAGGGGTTTCTTAGGTCAGATTATGAAGACTCCATTATAGCTGTGTGACCTCAGGGGCCTCTAATCCTAGCATTACAGAAATATCACAGATCTAAGATGACTGAGCCACACAGTGAGCAGGCTCACATGGAGCCCATTCCACCTGGCAGGCTTACCTGTCCGATCTTGGCTGAAGGAATGATTTTCATACTTGCCACTCCTTGTAGTTACGGTCACATGGTAGAGGCGGCCTGGGATGAGGGAGCTGAAGGAACATTCGCTGACAGACTTGGCAATGACGAGGGACTGAACTACCTTGCCATCATGAGAGAGTGTCACTACGTAGTTATCCACATCTCCAGGAGCTGGCAGCCAGGATATGCTGAGATAGTCATTACGGCCAGAATTGTTTACCGTTACTCCACTCACACTGGAAGGGACTGTGATGTTAAAAGGGGGAGAATACATATATATATTTTTAAAGAGCACAGTCAAAAGTTTGAGTCATTTCTTGTCAGCAACAACAGTGTGTGGACTCAGAAGATCTCATATGATTATTTGTGGTGAAGGAAATGCTCTGGAAGCTGAGTGCTCTTACTTCAGAAGGCTAACTGAAAAGAAACGCCAGGAGGCCTTTCGGATGCCTCATAAACACAAGGGGGCCCCTACTGCATTGTTATGGTGTAGCTGTTCATAAAGTGTTTTAAGTAGAGGCATCTTTATACAAAAGTGTCAGGATGTTCCCTATGTAGGAAAAGGAGTAAGCATTCTAACAATCCAAATGAATGAGTTGAACCGAACTCATCAATAAAGGTGACTGAGCGAAACAGTGAACGCAGTATCTTTTCTGAAAAGCTTAGACTTGGGGATAGTTTTGATCTTGTGATTAAGTTATTTATTCCTGGGGAGTCTAGTAACTAACACAACCAGAGGTGTTTTTGTGTTTTCTTTTTTTGAATCTTTGCAAAGCATTTCCTGCCCTCTAGTGGCAAAAATAAACCTAAAAGCCTATTCTGGAAGCCCCCAGTCTGGCAATTGGACCAAGGGTGGGCAGGAAGAGCTGCTGTGGTGAGAATGGCTTTTCTGATGTCAACATGACCATTGGCTTATTTTAATTGGAGTTTAGTGTCACAGACATTCACTGAGAGCCTATGACTCACCATATATACAAAGTGGAGAAGATGTGGATGTTTTTAAGGAGCTTCCTGGCTAGAAGAAGTTTGCAAATTAATCAATGTGGTATGGAGAAATAGTTGTACCACATATCAGAAATAAGTACACAGTAAATAGTACTGCTAGTAGTGACTATCAGAATAATAAAATCTTATAGTATTTACAAACTGCACAATTGTTTTCATCATTAGTAAACTAACTTCAGATAAATATTTTCCATATAATTATCAATATCGATTGTCAACATCATGCTTAATGGATGAAATTTGGCATGAAATGACTATCATATCATCAACAAAGTTTTTTCTAGGAGTTGTGTCACACGTTTATTGGAGATTTTAGAAAATTCAGAATTTGCTGTCTCCTATACTCATCCACCACCAAATTTCCATTTCTGGGAGAACAGCATGCACCTTCTGAATGGTACTGAAGATCAGAGATTAACCTTTTTAGAGAATGTTTTAAAAATGGCACTCTGGAGGTTCCATGTGCTCTTCTTACCTGTCCTTCCTTCCACCATCGCTTGTCGGGAAGAGATCCCTCCGCTTACTGTTGTTACCACCACGGAGTAGAGACTGCCTGACTTGAGGGAGTGGAAGCTGTATGTGCTAGTCTCACTGGAGACATTTTCATTTTTGATGACCACATTTTCATGAATGAGTAAGACTTGGTAAAATTCTACATCTCCCACTGCCTGGGTCCAGTTAGTAAACAGGCTGCTGCTTGTCCCTTGGTTGGCCACATGCAAGCCCGTCACTTGGGCAGGAACTAAAACACCGTAGACAGACAGGAGGAAAAAAACAGATGACACTTAGTCATCCTAAGGAAGTATAATAAAATTAAGAAAAAAAGTGAAGACAGTCTTGAAGATTTTATATATAAATATATATATAAAATATATATATATGGCTATTGCTATAGACTCTCAGCTCTGTTTCCTGTGGCATATGGCAAACTACTCCCTTAGAGAGACTCTACTATATGAAAAAGCTGCCTTCATGGGAAATCAAAATTATTTTGGATCCAAGGATGAGATGACAAGTGCATATTAAATAGTTCTGATTTAAAATTTTCAATAATGAAAGGCTGCTTTTTAAAAAAAAACAAACTTGCTTACTCAATGTGCTCACTCCACGAGAACTCAAAATCACATCATCTACCTGAGCTGATGGTTGTTATGACTGGTATTCGGAAATCCCTTTACCCTGATGGTTAGCTTGTAGTCTAGAAAACTGGTTAATTCTTTACTGGCACAGTCTCAAGAGGACTATTATTATTATAATAAAAAATGTTACAATAACAGAAATTATATTATCATATAATAATAATACAACTACTGAGTGCCTGCTGTGTGTGTTACAGGCTTTCTGCTTTACAGAGATTATATTATTTGATACTTATTCAAAACTTCATAAAGTTCATTATATTATTCCATTTACTGAAGAGGAAACAAAAGATCATAAACATAAGTAATTTGGCCTATATTACAGTGTTAATGAATAGTTAACCTGGGGATCAGAGCCCAATCTGTCTAACCTTTGAGCCTGAGTCCTTTTCCTAACTACTAACTACTGTGATTTCTAATCTCGCCGTTGACAAATCTTTTACACAAATCTTGAAGTTGGCACTTGATCAACATACATCTTCTCTGTGCCTCTTCCCTGAACTATGATAATCAAAGAGATTGACCTTGGCACAACTCTTCTCAGAATTCACGGATTTTGGATTCAGATACAAACATATTCATTAAAAAATATTATTTTGGAGGAAGGTGGTCAAAAGGTACAAATTTCCAGTTATAAGATAAATATGTTGAGAGCAAATCCTATGCGTTCTCATCACAAGAAGAACATACTTTTTTCCCCTCATTTTTTCTTTTTATTGTGTGTGTGTGTGTATGGGTATATATATATATATATACACACATATATATATATGGATAGATGTTAGCTGAAACTATATATAGATAGATAGATGTTAGCTGAAACAATTGTGATAATCACTTCATAACATATGTAATTCATTCCATCACACTATATACCTTAAACTTATAGTGATGCATGTCAATTATTTCTCAATAAAGCTGAAAAAATATTACTACATGTGATCAGAAGATTCAATTTTAATTCTAAGTTTAATGTGTAAAGCACAGGAATTAATATGCCAAAACAATTTTGAAAAAGAGTTACAAGATTGGAGGACTAACATCATCTAATTTGAAGACTTACTAGAAAGTAACACAGTGAAGACAGTGTGACACTGGCAAAAGGAGAGGCACATAAATCACTAGAAGAGGACTGAAAGTCCAGAAATAGACCAACACATATACAGTCAATTGATTTTTTACAGAGATTCAAGGGAAATTAAGTAGAGAAAAGGTAGGTTTTTTTAAACAGATAAGGCTGGAATTATTAGATGTCCATATGCAAAGAATTAAACCTTGACCCATATCTGACACACATATAAAATTTAACTCACAAGAAATTATATACCTAAATTTAAAACCTAAAAGTATAAAAACTTCTAGGAAGAAATATTTGTGATATTATGTTAAACAAAAATTTCTTAGATATGACACCAAAAGCATGATCCATGAAAAAAATTGATAAATTGGGACATCAAAATTAAAAATGTATGTTCTTGTAAAGTACACTAACAAATTAATGAAAAGACAAACCACAGACTTGTAGAGAACATTTCAACACACATCTGTGACCAAGGACTTATATCTAGAATAAAGAAATCTTAAAACTCAATGATAAGAAACAAACATGAGCAAAATTGTTTGAAAATATCTCCTTCCCCAAAGGAGATAAATGGATAGTAAATAAACACATGAAAAGATGCTCAAAACCATTAGTTATTAGGAAAATGCAAATTAAACACACATGAAATATCATTATGGACTTATTAGAATGACTAAAATTAAGGGGAAAAACCTGGAAATACTAAGTGTTGTTGAGGATATAGAGGAACTGGCAATCTCATATATTGTTGGTGGAGATGTAAAATTTTACAGCCACATTGGAAAACAGTTCGGTAGCTTCTGACAAAGTTAAACATACACTTACCATATAACCCCGCACTCTAAGTGGTGGCAATAACGAAAATGATCTTAAGTCTAAAAGGATGTCTTAGACTTCTGTTTCCAGCAGGATGATGGACTACATACCATGAAAATCTCCCCAATAAACACAACAACAAGTGTGTAGATAAAACATAAAAACGTAAATGCACAAATGAGTTGTCAAGAATGCAAGGAATTCTCAGAGACCTAAAAGGAAGTGCTAGAGAGGTAACTGAATTACCAAAGAAGACTTCCATTCTGAAGGCATCTTTTAAACACATTTAAGCTTTGATTTTATAGATTTGTAGGATCTACAAAACAGGAGGTAAAGCGTAGGACTTTCCCAGGCTGAGGAACCTCATAAGTAACTCTGTGTAACATTGGAATCCTGAAATGTTGTATGCTAAGTGTAAGTAAAATAAATATTCCCTTTTTACTTCCCATATCACCTCAACCCCCTTAACAATGGGAGGAAGAGAAAAAATTTCCATTGGAATTCATAACTTCAACACAGCTTCAGTGAATTTGTAACTCAAGTTCATAAAACCTAGATGACCAAAAAACCCTCTAGGTGACAGTTTAGATTAAAATAGGTCTGAGTTGATAGTAGTTCTGTGTGCCTGAGAGAATAAAATGAAAAGAAAGCTCTTTTTGAAACCCACTTTGAAACAAGGCATCACAGAATTTCCACAGAATAAAATCCCAATGTATGTGAGTTTACAGTAAAAAATTATAAACATTTAAGGAAGTAAAGCACCATGAACGAAAGGCCACAAACTCAATAGACAACAGAATTGTACCCCTGAAGAGTTCAGATATTATAATGATCAGAAATAAAATGTAAAGTAAAAATTGCTAATATGCTTATAGCAATAAAGGAAGAGAATGGAACTATGACTAAAGAGAATAATAGAGAATGCTTAAAAGTGAAAAAAATACCAATTCAAATTCAAAACTCAATGGATAGATTTTAAAATAGTTTGTACAAAACCAAAGAAATCACCAATGACCTTAAACAAAAAGCTGAGAAAATTATCCAGACTATAGCCCAAAGAGCAAGTACATGAAAAATATTATATAAATAATATTCTGGCATAGCAGCAGGAGAACAGAGAGAATGGAGAAGAGGCAATATTAAAGAGTTAATGGATGAGAATTTCCAGGACTGATGAAAGATACTAATCTGCAAATACAGAAATCCCAATAATCTCAAGCAGGATAAACATAAAGAAGTATCTACTGAGGTCATTGCCGTGAAACAGAAGAACACCAAAGGCAAAGAGTAGATCTTAAAAGCAATCATAGAAAACAAATTATGCATAGAGAAATAAAAATTAGACTGACAGCTGACTTTTCAACATCAATAATAAATGCCAGAAAGACTCGAATAATATCTCCAATGTGCTGAGAGAAAATAACTTTCAACCAAATTATAACCCAGGGAAAATATCTTTCAAGATTGACACCTAAATAAAGATATACCCAGAGAAACAAAAGTGTAGAGAGTTTGTTTCTAAAAGTTTCAGTAAAGAAATTTGAAGAATGTTCTCTAAATTAAAGCAACATAATACAAGATGAAATTTCTGATATACAGGAAGAAAAGATGAAGAAAAAATTGGTAAATTGGCAGTCAATCCAAGGATACTTCGACTATGTAAAACAATAATTATATTTTTATGGAGTTAAAAAAGGAGTGAGAAATAAAATACAGGATAAAAATAGTGTATAAATTGGGAAGGGGAATCTTTGATGATGACCTCGCTTCCTATTTCACTTAGAAAAGGAGTTATCAAAATATAACAACCCATTACTCCATCTCTATTTGCTGTACCTGCAGCCATATTCTCTCTGTCCCTTTCTCTCTCTCTGTCTCACAGCTGACTCTAAAGTTAAACTACCCATGCTCCTTTCCAAAGTCAATTCTTTAACTTACACTTTACATCCCAATACTTCTTCTCATAGAATAATGGCAGCAACTCTTCCCTCTCTTTGTACAGCATCACCATTCTTTTTTCTAAAACATCCCCATCAACATCAAATCCATTGTTATTTATTCTAGCAATAAAAAATCACCCTCCTTCCAAACATACTTTCTCTTTCAGATGCTGCCCTACTTCTTGGCTTTCCTTTGCAGCATAACTCCTTGGAAAGGTTGTTCTCTGCCCTGTTTTAAGTTTAGCAAAATAAAGTAAAGACTCTGAAGTAAAACAAAAAAGGACAAAACATGGAACTATTAAAGAGCTGAAAATAGTAAAAATAGAAAACAAACAACAGAAAGGATCCATAAATCCAGACCCAGTACATAACAGGCACGTAGCGAACATTTATAAGTTGAGTGTTAAACAATTTAGCAGACAGGATGCTTTTAAAGCCTAAAGTTTAAAAAATATTACCTGTTCTTCCTTTCACTGAAGATGAATTTTTTAAGTCTCCACTAATACTGGTGACAGTAGCTATGTATTTTCGTCCAGGCACCAGGTCAGTAAAAGTGAATTCTTTGGCATCTTTAGGGAGTGACTTGTGAATGAGCAAGAGGTCTCCATCTGCTAGGGAAATGATGTATTTCTCCCACTCTGCAACTGGGGTCTGCCACAGGATGCCCAGTGAGGTTTCATTGGCATGTTTGACACGAAGCTGGAGGACAGCCAGGGGGACTGAGAAAAACACAAGGGAGACTTGGATCACGAACCAACTCAGAAACACTCCCATGTTCTTTAGAGAGCTGTTCTCTTCCATCTGCAGGATGGTTCCAATTCAGCATTTCTTTTCTGAATGTTTATGAACATGAAGGGAAAAAAAGCTAATCACAAAATCTTTGTTTATATAACATAACCAGAAATAAGGACTCAAAATATTACGACTAGAGAATACTTCCCTAGGTCTTTTATTTTGGCCAGATAATACTTTCTGAGTGCTTATTTTTTCATAAGAACTCCATGATATGAAAATATATAACTCCATCTTGTCGATCACAAAACCCATGAAGATCCATGTTTGAGCACTTTGGGAGGAGTTAGGAGTACCTGTTGTCCCCATAGCTTGGAAAGACAAAGTGATTTTTCCTTTCATCTCTAAGAAGGGAACAATAATGCATCAATGAAAGGGAGAGTAATGAAAGTATAGCTGGTAACTAATAATAGTATCTGATTAAAGAGTCCCATTCCAAAGAATTGAAATTTCTTCCATTTCTTTAAAAGGTTATATTATTTGAGCTTCTAGGAGACATTGTTAAGAGTGAAGTGTTGATCCCATAAAACAAGAGGAAAACAAAATTATGGAAGAATTATGTATATAATTATATTGTGAATTTTGCATTAAAGAAATTTTTTGTCATCTCCTATGATAACAATGCCTTCTTCTGGGTTACCTCCTGAAGGACCTGCCTGAGAGATACTTGAAGAAATACCAGAAATATGTAAAATAAGTTGTGGTTTTCCTGCCTTCCTTTCTCCCTCCCTCCCTCCCTCCCTCCCTCTTTCTCCCTTCCTTCCTTCCTTTCTTTTCTTCCTTCCTTCCTTCCTTCCTTCCTTCCTTCCTTCCTTCCTTCCTCCCTCCCTCCCTCCCTCCCTCCCTCCCTCCCTCCCTCCCTCCCTCCCTCCCTCCCTCCCTTCCTTCCTTTCTTTCTTTCTTTCTTTCTTTCTTTCTTTCTTTCTTTCTTTCTTTCTTTCTTTCTTTCTTTCTTTCTTTTCTTTCTCTTTCTCTCTCTGTCTCTCTCTCTCTCTTTTATCACAGATTTCCTTGTAAGCAAAAAATGTACAACAAACATTTCTCTCTATTAATGAAAACCTTTCAGTGTTGGGGTCCATGTGTTTAAAATTTTAAGGGGCTGGCTAAGGTCTGCAAAAGTTTCTGCTAAACCCTTCACTGTGAATTTTCTTGGGGGTTCTTTTTTTTCTCCTGCAGTTTCCTTTTTTGCTTGCTTCTTCAGTGAGGCATTCCTGTTCCTGTTCCTGTTCCAGTTGCTCCTCACCAGGAGTTCCTCAGGAACCACCTCCAAGTCATCCTCATCTACCCCCAGGTTAAAGCTGTGTGCCATCTCAAACAGCTTTGTTGACTTTTGTAACCTCCTCATCCTTGGCAAATCCTTTAAGGTCATGGACAAATCTCTTGAGTGTCTTCTTCCAGATGCTACTCACAGACTCCTTGGTGACATCACCTAAGCCAAAGCAAGGTTCTCAATGAAGTCATAGATGAAGTAATCCTTCCAGAATTGCATCAGTGTTTTCTTGGTGTCTTCCTCAGCTACAGCAATAGCCTGGGCAAAGGTACTCCTTAGGACCTTAAAATCTCCTGCAACTCCACAGTCCCTTGGTTGGATCAAAAAGGTGGTGTCTGGAGGGAGAAACACCACTTTGACATTGGGATGAAGATCAAAAAGAAGCAAAATCTTGAAAGGAGTGCTCTTCTCTGAACATAGCAATTCAGGAGCGCATCCTGGAAGAGGAATTGGGCTGCCTAGGACTTCTCATTGCTCCTGATGTACACTGGCAGAGTGTGCTTATTAACATGCTTGAAGGCCCCATGGTTCTTGCTATGCCAGGTCACAAAGGGTTTCAATTTGTAGCCTGCAACATTGTCCTCAAGAAAGACTATTATTCTGTCCTTAAAAACCTTGAAACCTGGCATTGGTTTGGCCTCCTTATGGATGAAAGTCTTTGAAGGCATCCACTCCCAGAATAGGGAGGTTTCATCTGCATTGAATATTTACTTTGGCAAATGATTTTCCTTCATAATCAGCTTATCTAGAGTTTCCAAAAATTCTTCAGGAACTTTCACTCACGTTCACATTATGTAACGAATAATGATTCTTGAATCACTTAAACCACCCAGAGGTAGCAGTGAATTCAACATCATAGTCGGGTCCAGCCTTTTCTTCCAACATTGCAAACAAACATTTTGCTTTGGTCATGAGCGTCATGGTGCTGAGAGCAATAAGCTTCAGGGTCAGGGTCTTCAATCCAGGCCTTTAGAAGTTTCTCCATGTCTGACAAAGGCCCTTCTCAAATTTTTATTAGTCTTGATTCCTTCCAAAAAGCAGAGATTTTAACAGCTCCCATCACTTTGTTCTTGTTCTTCAAGAAGGCAGCTATCATGGAATATGGGACGTGCCTAACCGGTGGGCAATAACCATCACTGATTGTCTACCTTCACAGTCCTTAATCGCTTTTAATGTCATTTCCAGGTCAGTCTCTCAATGTGGCCTCTTATTGGCAACATTAACAGTGAATTTTGTACACTTAGGAGTCATGATGAACAAGGCAACATGAGATTAAATTAAGCACAAAAGAAATGAAGCACTCAGGAGACAGTAAACATGAGATGTATGAGGCTGTTTTCAGTGTAACACGGCATACTGCTTTACAGAGAACATTTTTAAAATAAGTAGAAAGATTACACTCTAAAATAATGATACAAGTATAGTATAGTAAATGTACAAATCAGTAACATAGTCTTTTGTTATTATCAAATAGCATCTACTGTGCATAATCGTATGTGCTGTACTTTTATACAACTGGCATAGCAGTAGGCGTATTTACACCAGCATCACCACAAACCTGTGAGTAATGCGTTGAGTCACGATGTTACGATATCTATGACATCACTAGGTCCATTATAATCTCATGAGACCACTGTTGTATATACTCTATGTCATTGACTGAAATGTTGTTATGCGGCTCACGACTGTATAAAATAATGCAGTTGCTAGTGGAAGTGATCTCTAATGTTCTTATTTGACAAAATTAAACATTACCAACCCTATTTTAGTCTGCGAGCACATAATATGTCAAGTTCAGAAAATACCAGGGTACAACATTGACAGTTACCTGGGTTACTTTGTAAAGGGGCCAAATTGAGATTCCATCAGTCATTAACACCTTGACATTTGCTTACCTGTCCTGCCTTGGCAACGCGTAGAGTTCTTCAGATTTCCGCTCTCAACAATGATTTCTATGTCATACTGTCTTCCTGGTATGAGCCCCATGCCATCTATGACATAGTGCGTTTCTTCCTTTCCCACAGTGACGTTGAGCAGCACCCAGGAATCATTGAAGAGCAGGATACGATACTTCTCCCAGTCTCCAGCAGGGGGCAACCAGCTCACTACCAGGGACCTCAGCGAACCATTGCTATGTGCCTCCAGGTTCCCGACTTTCTCTGGAACTAAATGGTAAAATGATATCAAAAAGGAGATACTAAAAACCAAAAGTAAGGATGCTCATTCACTCTTCATGGGCCACATTTTTATCCCCACCTGATATTCGTGGATTGCGAATGAGCGTTCTTTCCCAACTCTGTAGACATTTGACACTCAAGGAATTTAAGACCAAATCACTTTAGTAATATCTCAGTAATGAGATCTTCTGTGACACTGTTAATAACCTAGTGATATGACCTCTGTGTTTACTGACTGCACACCAGGCTCTAGAGACAATACTGATGTTGCATCTAATGACGGTGACACTGATGGATGTGGTATTTTTTTGGAAGAGATCTCATGCTACGGTCATAAAACATTCCTTTTTGTTTTCCTATTGAAAAGACTAATCTTGCAACATAGCTCTGATATTATTTGTTCAAAAACACTCAAGTCCTCTCTATTAACGACAGTATGAATCATCAAGTCCTTGGTGTGGCGTTTGTAGATCTCCGCAATAAGCCCCCACATCCTTTAGTCTTAATCCTGACACTCGTGCAGCGCCCCCGCCCTCCTTCCCACACTCTCAAATGCGGGCCTCCAGCTGCTTGTTCTGCAGACCTGTGAGTCTCCTGGGCTCTTATGCCTTTGTTTATTTCATTCCTTCCACCTCAAATCCCCTTTCTTTTTTTCCCTCCAAGAAGTCTTTACCGGTCTTCTGAAAGAAAAATTTGTCCTCTTGTTTCTCTGACCATATGGTTCCTACTTGGGATCTATAGTAGCACAGAGAACAAACTCTGGAATCAGACAGCCTGATTTAAACTCCAGTCACACGATTTTTTTCCCACTTTGGCTTTGTCCCTGGGTCCTTTACACACTATTTACTAACTGGATGGCTATTGACAAGTTATTCATCTGCAAAACGGTGATAATAATAGGACCCTTCTCATGGTTTTGCTGTGAGAACGAAATGAAATAGTGGTGTAAGATACTTAGTGCCTGACACATGGAAACATCAATACAATTACCATTATTAAAATGTACTACAGTATTTTTACTTTTGTGTGTATGTTCTACATTTGTGTGATTAAAAAGTAACTTCCTTAAAGCAAGATTCAGCAAGTAAATATTTCAGGCTTTGCAGGCCATTTTGCTCTTTGTCTCTTTTTTTGGTGTGTTTTTTAAACATTTAAAAAATGTAATAACCACTCAGCGTAGGGCTATACAAAAACACGTTTTAGGCTGTGTTTGGCCGAAGGGTGTATAGTTTGCTGAGCCCTGCAATTTTAATAACTCCCAAGGCTCACAGTATAATAATTTACACATAGAAGGCACTGGATAAGTGCTTGGTGACTTAAAATGATAAAATAATTTCATAAAAGACATGGTTAAATGCTAACTGGCCCTTACTATAAGAGTTGATCAGAAATGTTTGATTCATTGTTATCAATGCAGATATATTTATGCTACTTAAGTGGTATGGTGTGAAACAGCACAGGGCAGGGCCAGCTATGTAGATCATGCAGGAATCAATCCAAACATGTTTGCTTACGTAACTCAGATGAATGCAATCTACCTTCTGCTTTACTCTGCACATGGGGCCCTGGCCCGCAGACACCCTCAGTCATGAAGACCATACTTCCCAGGTTGGGACTGGAGTTTCCCTTCTAACTTATTTTGTCCTTGTCTGAGACTGACTAGGATCAGAGACTGATTTGGGCAACCAAGGAATATCCCGGAGCCCAGACTCACCTGTTCTGCCAACTGCCATCTTCTGAGCAGACAATTCACCGGAGACACAGCTGACCGTAACTTGATAAAGTCGTCCAGGGGTTAAGTCTTTAAATTGGGTTTCCGTAACCTGGGGTGCTAATTGTCTGGAGTTTTTAATGGCCCCTTGGTGAGACAGGGTAACGTTGTAGAAATCTATATTTCCAGGAGGTATTTGCCACTTGATTCTTAGAGAGGTCAAAGTGCCATCATTTGTCACCTTCAGATTTAAGACTTCATTGGGGGCTAATTAAGAAGGAAAAGAGATTTTAACTCAACGTATCTTACCAGTCTTGTGGCCAAATTTTGACCTGAATTTTAATCTTGACAAAATACACTCCCTGCACAGAAGAAAATGACAAAGTCATGAGGCAAAAATAATACTGCAAAACCAAAGGAAGACTACCTGGTTAGTGGGAAGAACACAGACGTGGCAGTAGGAGCCTGAATTCTGGCTCAGGCTGAGTCGAGTTGGCCGAGCCACCCTGGGCAGCTCTGCCCACGTCACTGAGCTCAGGGGTCCTCTTGGCAAATGAGGGCCTGGCCAAAATTCGTTAAGGAGAATGCCAATTTCTACTTCATTTAATCTGTCTAACTTCTTCCCCTTTTTATTATTTAATAATAGCAAGTACATAATAGTTGGGCAATTGATTAGCTATTACAAAATTTTGTGTGCTAAAACTATTTTCATTTTAAAGCATGATAAAATTAAGGTTCAAGAATTGTCAATGGCTCAGTGATCCTGAAATTAGAATTTTATCTTGTTCCTCCTCCTCCTTAAATAAAAAAAAGAAAGAGTTGTATCATTATCTTATCAACGGAAAATTATCACAAAGGAAAAACATTTTGGTGACTATTTTTTCTATTTCTTGCTTATTCTATAATTTTGGGCCTCGCTAATGTCATAATATAAATTATCAACACTTCATTAAAAGAATAGCATAGTATACTGATTTTGCATGAAGCAGTTACAGGTGTAATTTGTTCTTGATAAAAATGAATAATTCTTAAGATATATGTTACATTTTTGTTGCGATTGTCTATGTATCTTTGAGATGTGATCTGAAAGATATATGTAAATGTGCAAGTGTCCCAAATATCATTCCCGCCAGCCTCCTATAGTTTCAGACACTCTCATCACTAATTTCTAAGGTACCACATACTTTAGAGTTTATGTGAAATTTAGGTAACTTTCCGAGAGAGAGGATTTATTAACACATTAGATCCACTAGAAGCATTAGCATCTACTAGAATGTAAGTTCTATGAGGGCAAAGACTTTGTCTTTCTTGGATGCAGTTATATCCTCAATGCTTAATGCATAAGTTACACCCAATAAATATGGAACGAATGAGTGAGTATGCCTATGAATTTATTCATTAAAACAGTCCAGATTAGTTTATCAGGCTGTATTAGGCATGAGAAGAGGCTCCATAGTTCTGTTTTGTTGGCTAGAGGTTGGGGGAAAAGGCTGTTTCTCAGGAGGAGGGCTTTGCATAGCACTGAGAGAAGTGTCCTGGTTCATGGTGAGTGATGTCACAGGGGCCGTGGAATCCTGTTTAGAAGAAGGAAGACTGGCGTCCTGAAATGAGAAGCCAAGGCCAGGTTATAACGTAATTAACTTTGCTACTTCAGAATGTTGCCAAGGGCTATAATGAAAGAGGACCCCTTTTTTTCTTTGCAGAAAAGTGGATACATATTAAGGGCCTTCTCTACCATATGAATTTCAATTGGTCCTATATTGCCATTATTCAAATAATTAATAAGCTTTGTTCATTAAACATTCCCTTCATTTGCACTTTATTCTTGTTTGGCCGGCTAGGGAACTCACTTGTCCTGGCTGCTTTCCACTTGGAGTTCTGCAGCCCTGCAGCCTCCGTCACAATGGTGAGGTTATAGAGGTGGCCCGGCGTCAGTCCGTGAAAAGTGTAGGAAGTAGTGTGTTTGTCCACGACGGTGCCATTAACTAGGACCCCTTTATCCATTAGCATCAGCTGGTATCTTTCCACACTCCCAGCGCCATGGGACCAGGAAATCAGGAGCGAATTAGTTTTCGCTGAAATACCGATGTCTTCCACCGGGGAAGGCACTGAGGGGACACAAGGGATTTCCAAAGTGTCATTCATCACTTCTTTGTAGAAGACATAGACACATTTAATTCCAAGCTGCATATTCATTTATGCTTCCCTGTAATCTAATTTTGTGGTAATTAATGAAAATAGCACTTTTGAAATTTCACTGAAATCTGGATTAATGCTCTTTCCAAAGTCCACAGCCTAAAGCTACATCGTAGTTTACCTGTCTGTCTCCGCTACTTAATAGAGCTTAGGTAGTTTTTGCTAATGAAGTATGGTGGGGCATAACAGTAAAGGGAAAAGGAAAAAGGACAGAACTATAGGGGAGAAAAAATGGAAAGAGAGCAATAAAGCAGGAGAGTGAGTGATAAGAAAGGCGGTACTCATGGAAGGAGGCGGTGATATGTCACTGACACTAGAATATGTAGGTACAAGCAAAGACTTTTTACAAACAGGGAATCTTTAGCAAATATCATGACTCGATGTCATGAGAAGAATATACAAAGGAGGAAAGCATTTTAAAAATGAGGTTTATGGGGCACAAACTCAGAAAATGCTGTTGCTTAAGATCTGAGTTAGAAGGGTCACTAGGAAACATTTACTTATTTTGGAAAAATCTCTAGTCCCGGAGAAGTTTTGTGACATGTTCAAAGTAACCCAGCAAGCTAACAGCATACTCCTTGTTTTCAGTCTAGACTTTCCACTGTACCACACAACACTTACGTATGTATGTATGTATGTATGTATGTATGAATGATCTGGGGGCATTCTTACCTCCATTTCTTAAATTTAATACAATTTCAAAAGGAGCATAGACTATTAAATACCCAACTATCTGTAAACAGGTCTTACCTGTTGATCCATTGGTATAAATTGTAGAGGAACGTTTATGTCCAGAAACAGCTGTGATGGCAATATTGTATTTATTACCAGCAGTAAGGTTATAAAATGTATATTCATTCCTTGAAGCACTTTCTTGAATGCGGGCCTCCTGTATCTTTTGGTTATCATGAGATAACAGCACCTCATACCAGGTGACTCTTCCAGAAGGAGTCCACCAAACATGCAAGCTGGTTGAAGTAGCCTTCTCTTTACTGACCTCAAATCTTGAAGGAGGTAAAGGGTCTGCAAGGCAAAAACCAAGAAAGAGAACGTGGCTTGAAGACTTCTGCAAAACATGCTTACTTTGCCATAATCCAGATTCATTTTCCCTAAAAAGTTTAAGCATCTGCTGCCCGTGAAACAAATTGGCATTTTATTCCAGTTTGAAACTTACCATTTCATTTAAAAAAGAAACACACTCAGCTACTTGTCATATAAACTCCTTTTTCTAATACAATTTTTTTTTTCTGAGCTTGGAGTTCCAAGTAAGGTGACATTATCTTTTGCTTGCAAGGTCAGCACTTTTCCAACATTGACAAACATCCAGGCTATGCCTGGGTAAATAGTGAAAATCAACAGAAAATGCAGATATTGAGAACTAATTCTGAAATGTGTACTGAGTTTTTTCTTTCTTTAGGTTGTAGATTTATGTGGCTTCAGTATAGATGACTTATGGTTGTTTTTAGATATCAGGAAACCACAAATATACAGACCTAATTAAGGGCGTAGGCTAGGGTGCTCACCAAAATGAATTCTCCCCACAGCTGGATTGTCTATGTCCCTGAATTTTCAAAACTTGAGTTCTGGGACATTTTTGAGCTGCTGAGACCCACAGAACAGGTGAGAATGGGTTGGTACTGCACTCAGCTGTTTATTTAGCTTTAACACTCAAAGCCATGGGTCAGTTTGAGAAGTCCTATTTCCCATGTATTGAATCTTGAAACAGGACAAACAGCATGTCTTTGGGTTAGGAACTAAGGCAATAGCATTTAGTGAGTAGCCATTCCACGGTGCAGTGAGACCATCCGAGAAATGAGACTCTTCCTACCCTGAGTTCTGGGAGTAGAAACATTGAGAGACATTTACATAGGAGTAATTTTCAGAAATTCTACATGTTCTTGGTCTAGAAAGTGGGATTAAGATAGTAGAAACTAAATTTCAACACTCAGGTCAGATATTTTAGTGGCATGGCTACAGAGATCTCAGCTCTTATCTACCTCTTGGTAAATTTTTCTCACAAAGTGACCACAGAAATACTAGAATGTTCTTAGAACAATATATGTTTTAAGAAGGCATTCATTTGTAAATAATATTAATTCAAATAGGAACAAGGTAATTTTATTCTGTTCAAAAGGCATTTATGACCAGAGAGCTTATAAAACTATCTGTGGGTCATCCAGGGACACCACACGTAGGCTACATCCAGCTTATAATAAATCTAACATCTTTGTCTGTGTTTTGGCCTGTGATTTATATATGTACATCATATTGCAAAAATTGAATAAGCCACATAACATTTTATAACAGTAATAATAATAACATAAATATTAACTGGTAAGTAAGCCAAGGCAGCTGTAACTTCAATTACCATAAAGGCAGGTGAGCTTGGAGGATGAGGTTGCATGGTTTACCCCCAAGCCCAGCACAGGCTCACCTGATGAGGGTAGGCTCTGGAGCTGGATGACCTGGGTTTCAATCGGCTCCCCTGCTCTGTAACTGTGTACTCAGGCAATTCCTTAACTTTCCTGTCCCTAAGCTGCCTCACCTTTGCAATGCTGGTGATAATACTATCATTTTAGTAGAACTGCTATGAAGATTAAATTGCCTATTTTGTCTAGAGCACTAAAACCAGTGTCTGGTGCATAGTAAGTGTTCGACATTAGCTAGTATTATTATGGCTCCTAACCAGGAGAAGGTCTTGACATAGAAGTAGGAAGATGTAGTAGCAGAGAGGTTGGGCTTTGGAGTTGAATGGAACTCAATTCAAATCTCAGCTTCAGTCTTAAGACTTTGGGTAAGTTACGTCATCTATCTAAGCCTTCCTTTTCTCACCTGTCAGGGGAGAAAAATAATAGTACCTACATTCTCAGATGTTTTGAGAAATAACAAAATATAGATTTTACCTGGCATACAGTGGACACTTAGTAACATAAGTTAATTGTTTAATTAATCACAAAAAAATTTCCTCTGAATCACAGACAAAATGGAGGCAAAAATGGAATACAATTTTTTAAACTACAGTGATAAAAGCCTAAATTGCTTTCTTCATAAAAAATACCGTGATAAGTATCTTATCAGTTTATTCCCATGAACTAACTCTCTAACCCTTAAGAGAAAATAAAAAATTCCCAAAGTGATTCTCACTTATAAGCTCTGAAGGAAAAATATGGTTTTAAAAAATTTCTGGCAATATTACTTAAATTTTTTATCCTACATAATAGTCTATAATTAAGGATGCCATAATAAAAGCAAAGAACATAATTTCCCCTCACAGAAAGTTTTCTTTTTGCTTGGCATGGATAAGATACTTCACTGCCATAAGATTCTAATAGCCAGCAAAACTCAAGAACAACCTTGTCATAGCCAACCCAGATGACACATTTTTTGCTTAAGAAGCATTTTAAGGACAAGGATGAGAAGGACAGCTGCTTTCCAGTGATAGTTCAGATGCGATCTATGCTGTGCTGTCATCTCTGTCTACAGCTGAGCCAGATAAAGGCCAAAGAAACTGATGTTATGTTGAGTATAATCTAAACATATATAATCTGCAAAATATGAGCTATAGAAAATGAATTTTAAGGTTCCGTGCCTGGAGGGTGAAGTTCAGAAATGCAGACTTTATCTAATCTCTCTGAGCCAGAAAACAAAACAGTCAATCCTTTGTACATCCGCTAGAACAAAGGAACAATGAGACTGGGAAGTGCCTGGGCTGCGAGAACCTGCACTGGAAACAAACACTTAAAACCCCATTTTTGCTGTGATAAAGCCCTTTGCTGGCAGTGGTCCACCATTGCTGTGCAGGCGGCAGCCGTTAGTTTTCAGACATCTTTGCAATCTAAGCCCAATGAAAACTCTGCTGTATTAAAGAAAAAGTTTCCAGTATTTTATTAGAAACAAATTAGATCCATCAAGGATGCTAATTTCATATATAAATATATACAAATTGACATTTTAAATGTTATTTGAAAATTATTTAGATACCTGTAACCTTCTGATCAAAAGAAAAATCACATGTAATTAGAAAACCTTACTTGGCTTATGTATAATTTATGCTGATGGTAGAAGTGTCAACGCACATGCGTGTGCATTATAACCTTTCCGGTTCCCCCCCACGCCCGCCCCCAATCACTCTCATATAGACAGTAACTGGTGAAGTATTATAAACTATGGGAACTGTTGAAAACCATAAATCAATAATTTAATCTCAAGCACATATCAAAATTTACCATTAGCTATAAATTGAAGCCATTTATGCTTCTTAGTTCCAGACAGACCTAGAACGCCAATGCAAAAGTCCTGCCATATTCATCTGCTATATTTCTGTGAGTCTACCAGTATTAGGAAGCCCTAGAATTTCCTAAGTTGGCTTGATGTCATCCCAATGTTTCTGTTCTCTGAGGAAAAGATGAAGTTTAGCTAAATTCCTGAACCAAAATGAATTCTTCCTTATTTCCTTTTTTAAAATGTAGCTTTGGAAGAGGGAGAAATTCATATATGTACATATATATGCACATATATAAAATGAAAGTAATATTTTCTTTAAAAATTCTTTTGTATGGCTATTAAAACACTATTATCTATTGATAAAGGAATCTCCAGAGTGTTTAGATTTCAAAGTGATAGCATTTATTTTGGAAGTAAAGTCAACCTTATAACAAGAGTGCAAACAATGATGGGTTTATGTCAAATGCTATCCTTGAAGTCGTAACAGCCCCACAGTATATCTGTGTCGGATCTCTTACTTTACCATATGTTTTCTCACTTTTGAAAACCTTCATCAACGGATGGTTTGTGGCTTTTGCGCCACGGAAGAACAAAACGAAAAAACAGTTGTTCACAATTAAAGTAAAATGCATCTCTTTTACTTTGTGATTGTTGCTGTTGGACTACAATAGTCAGCTTTCTGACTTATTTTAAGATGATATACTATGTTATGCTAATGCAGTAGATTAACATGCATTTGATTTATCACCTTAATACACCAGACATAAAGTTTAGGTAAGAAAGAACTTTCAAAGTCTTAACAACCTTGACAGGGAACTAAAACAGTTTTGACAATTATTTGCATGACCATTAACAACGGTGCAGGGAGGCTCATTATTTTCTGGGTTCTCCTGTTTGGCTTTAGGTGTGTAAGTAGTAGATGGTCTACCCTCTGAGAGTTTGCAGTCTACTCAGGCAGCTAACACCTATGAGAAAAGGGTACAAAAAGGTGCATTATCAGGGAAGCTGGCTTCAATGACAGATGAAACCTGGGTTCAAATCCCAACACTGCCAGTTATGAAGGTGACTTTAGGAAAACTGTTTAAATTTGCTGATGCTCAGTTTCCTATCTATAATATGGGACCAACACTACTTTACAGAGTTGTACGTGCTAAGAGGTAATGGAAGGTAAAGCAGTAAGTGCTAGTCTCACACGTGTCGGGCTTTCGGTAAATGGCAGTAGGTATGAACGTCGCTGCTGTGAAGAGTAACACAGGTGGGTATTAATGCTAAATACACAAATGGAGAATGACCGCCAAGGGCTAAGGTTTCAGAGTGGGCTTCATGAAGGAAATGAAATTTAGCAAGTTTGCAAGGTCAAGTAGGACTTAGAAATCAGAGAGTAAAAGGGGCATTTCAGAGTGAGAAAGCGTTTAAGCTAAAGCACCGAAAAGCTCACTTCTATTAAGTATTACTCTCAGCACGGAGGGTACCTTGACAGCTGGTGGAGACTTTAACCCCCTTATGCCCATGATAGCCTTCAGCAGCCCCACTCTAGTCCTTGGATATTAACGACTGAGGCTTTCTCAGTATTATCTAAGTGTCCAAGCCTCTTGGCTTCCTCTTCCACTTAGATTGTCTCTCTCATGTAGAAATTCATGGGCTGTCACTTGGTGTGTGTTTTCAAATCTGGACATCAAGATATTAAGGAATTACTGTTAATGTTAGGTAGGATAGTGATATTGTGGTTGTATTAAAAAAATCTTATCTTTCAGAAATGCGTACTGAAATATTTATAAATGAAACTAAATGATGACTTG